CAACGGATTCATCGCTGCCTCGAAACTCGCAGAGACACCTCGACAGGTCACGTGAGAAGTTCTCTCTGATGGGATGTGATGGATTTTGCCCTGGCTTCGGCGACCCCGAAGGTGGGTACGACAACCTAGGCAGGCGCATTCCTGCGGTGAACGCGTCGCTCGCTTCGGGCAAGCACGCACCCGTCAACTACGGCTGCTGGTTCTACACCGCGGGCAACGCCTCCAGATGGTCGGGGGCGTACGTCAACGTTGGACGATCGTTACGTGTGCGCTCGCGCTGCGATGTGCACGCGCTGATGTACGGATCCCGCTCCTCCGCCAATCCGCTGTGTACTCACAACCCTGGGGATAAGTTCTGGTGTGTGCTGGCTCGGTCGCACGGCTTCGACTCGATCCAGATCCTGCGTGGCACCGCAAAGGCGAGCTTTGGCAAGAGGAAGCCCTGGTCTGAGCTTGTGCTCTGCACTGACGAGTGCGCCACCATGCTCCATCGCAACAACGCCTGCGTGTCCGCAGCGCGCTCCCTAAGCGCCAACGGCACCGTCCTTCCGTGCGACTGCCCCTCGGAGGCGCAAGTGCTCTCGTGCGACGCCAGCTCTCCAGCAGCTACCTATGGGCTTCACCGCTACGCCGTGCTGCCGCTTGTTATTCCGGGAGAGCGTGCTCCGGCGCGGAACGCTAAGCTCTGTGAGGGACCTCCATTCAACCTTTCGCGTGTGCTTGGAAGAGCCGCCGTCCTCTCCTCCGCCGCCGACGCCTCATCCGCCTGCATCACAACCAATCGTGCTAGAAGTGCCGTCATCACCGTGCAACGTTCAGCTACCGCCGGCGGGCGATGTGGAAGAATGGGAGGCAACGGCGGGCGGCGGGTTTGAGCTGGCGACAGAATGGGAGGATATCGCCCGGGAGCGGGACGCGGAGCGGCGCCGTGCGCGCGCCGCCGCCGCCAACGCCTCGCGGCCGTCCGCTCCGTGGAGCTTCCCTGCGTGCCCACCCTGCCCAACGAGTCAGGTGGGAGGCGGTGATGATGGCAAGCGCAAGGCGGCCAACAGTGGGCCCGCGAACAGTGGGCCCGCAACCACCACAGAGCTCTACTTCGTTGACCAGCTGCCGTACCTCAAGGTCGAGACATGGCACACGGACGGCGGACCGGCATTCAGCGAGGTTGACTATAGCGGGGGGGCCCGCCTGAGGCGAGTTACTGATCCATATATTTTTTGCACTAAGCCATAAGTTTTGTCCACTCAGATTCCCCGCCCGGTCGCCAGTGGTGGTGGGGAGGTAAGAGTGCACGCCGACAAGCCCCAAAACGAATCTTTAACTTGCATCCTCTGTCTCTGATGCCGAGTATGGAGAGATAGATGCGGCATGCCGCGACAGATTCGTCATGCACCTGATGACGGCCGCCGGCGCCTCGGCGCCGGCCGACGCCGTGTTCAGGTTCACAGCCGGCGAGGCGATGCAGACCTCTCGCCCGATCTCCGCGTCGGGCGAGGACGACGACGAGGACACCGGCTCCGAGGAGTATTCCGACGACAGGGCGTCCGACCGCTAGCAGCTGGCTTCAACCATATCTTACCCTTTCTGCCCCCCCCTCCTCCGACCCCCCAGGCTAGATGGAGTAGTCAGATGTAGGAGAGGAGTGTGATGCGCTAGCCGTCGCCCACCCTGGGGAGTCTGCCTCTTCGTATCTCTTTTCGCAGTCTCTCGCCGCTTCTCGCTGCAACCTTCATGCCACCTCGCGGCCGTCCCACTCTCGTCGTTCTCTCCCTTGTCACTTCCTCCTCTGTCGCGTCGTTCTCTTCCTCGTCCTGCGGCGCCGCCGCCTGCCGGTCCCTTGTTCTCGCGGCTTCTTTCGCCTTTCGGCGCAACTCCGTCCTCCTCGCGGCGTATCCTGGCCCCTCAAGTCTATCGAGCTCCCCTCGCGCAACGACCACATTTCTGATTGACGAAGTACCGACATGCTCACACAAAAACACATGCTTACTCTGGTGCTACTTCAGACGGGTCTCGCCAGCCTCTGCCCTGGGAGATGCACAGCAGTGCGCCCATCCAACGCGGCAATCGTCAGCCCGGTGCCTAGGATTCAGCGCAGCCGCGCCGCCGTCTGCGCGCTTGGCGGCCTCGAGCTGCCTGCTCGCCTGTGGCCTCTCGTCGGCGCCTTTGCGCTCGGCGGAGCCACCACCGCCGCCGCCTCTGCCGCCGCCGGGTCGTTCCGCACAAGAGTACCAGCACCGAGGGGTCTCCTCCTTTCCGTCTTCCGCCGCTCACTGCGAATCGTCCGCTCAGTGCTCGGCGCGGCGTGCATGGCCCTGCTGCGTCGCAGGCTTCCGGGCTGCGAGGCTGCCGACGAGGGCGAGTGCGATCTCACCGCATCTCGCTCGCGGTGGGCGGAGGCGTGGGCCATCCTCCGCGCGGGCCTGCGGGAGGTCGGCCGAACCACGGCGGAGGGCGTCGAGGCCTTCAAGATGGAGCGCTCCCTCTACTCCGCCGTCCTCGGACGGTCAGCACACTCTCCCGCCATTTTCATTGCCGCCACTCGTCTCGCTGCATTATTGCAGGACACCTCCCTGATACCTCCCTAATACCTCCCTGACACGTCCCCGACACGTCCCAGGCCCGCCCTCGTGGCGCTGCAGTACGTGCTCGACCGTGTCACGCCGCTGCGGCTCGAGGCGGTGCTGCGCGAGGCGCTTGTCGGCGTGCTCTCGTCTGTGAGCGCGCCGCCCGAGCCCGGCCCAGACCAGGAGGCTTGCATAGAGACACTCGTCTCACGAAGCTGTCTTGCACACACACGTACTGTCTCGCAACAGTATTGCACTGGTGCAGCTCACATACACTCGGTGGCGGGACCTCGGCACTCCTCCGGCGGCACCAGCCCACACGCCCTCCTCGTCCCTCCTAGTGACGCCCATTCCCACGCCCCTGCCAGGCCGGCCGCCGCGCTCTCAGCCAGGGCGAGCGCACGCTACGCGCGCTCGAGCTCCGCTCCTTCTCGGTCGGGGGTGCGCCGCCGCAGCTGCTGGCCGCGCGGGCGTACGATCTCGGGCCGATGGCGATGGCGTTCGACTTTGACGTCCGGTGGCCGTCGGAGATGGTTGCCGGCTGTCCGCCGCGCTCCAGTCTCGGAGGCACCTCGGAGGCACCTCGGATGCCTCTCGGCTGTAGGTCGCCGAGCTCCTAGACACTTCCTAGACACTTCCTAGACACTTCCTAGACACTTCCTAGACGCTTCCCAGACCTCGGATGCATCTCGGCTGTAGGTGGCCGAGCTGTCCGCCGAGCTAGAGCTGCGTGTCGGCGTGGGTGCGCGCGTGCCGGTGGCGCTGCGCAACATCTGCTTCGACGGCGCGGTGCGGCTGGTGGTGACGAACCTGTGCGCCGCGGAGCCGGGGTGCGGCGCGGCCCTCTGGTTGCTGTTCGGCTTTTTTTCTTTTTTCTCGAGCGCGCCCTTTCTCTGTTAGGTATGGCGCGGTGCTCTGCTCCCTGCCGTCGCCGCCGGAGCTGACTCTTGACTGCCGCGTCGCGGGCGGCGAGGTGACCGCCATCCCGTGTCTAGGAAGTGTCTAGGAAGTGTCTAGGAAGTGTCTAGGAAGTGTCTAGGTGACCGCCATCCCGTGGCTGCGGTCGGAGCTGCAAAACTCGCTGCAGGCGGCCCCGCTCGAGAGAGGCTTGCCTGGCACGCAGTCCCATCAACGAAAGGTTGCGTGCTCTTTGCTGCACCCAGGCGGCTTTGCTCGAGAGCCTCGCGTGGCCTCGCCGGGTGGTGCTGCTCCCCTGTCCGGCCGGGACCGCAAACTCTTTCGAATTCGCCTTCTTCTGAACTGACTGACTCAGGTGGTGCTACCTGCTTTCCGGCCGGGGTCGCTGCACGCGACGGTGCTGCCCGCGGCGCAACTGCGGCGCCTCGCCGTGACGGACCCGCTGCTGCAGGCGGAGATGGCGCTCGCCGAGTCGTCGCCGTCGGCAGAGAAGGAGCCGAGGGCGGAGGAGGCGGCGGGCGGCGGCAGCTACCGCTCCTTCCTCGAGGCGTTGCCTGCGAGGCTCGCCGGGCTGACGGAAGCGGACATGTGCATTCACATGTATGACGGGCGGCTCTCACACGACTACCGACTGCCCGCAGGCTGGCCAACCTGACGGACGACCTCTCCCTCGACCTCTCCAAGGTCTCCTGCGGCTCGACTTGCTAACCCTCACCCTCACCCTCACCCTCACCCTCACCCTCACCCTCACCCTCACCCTCACCCTCCCCTCACCCTCACCCTCCAAGGTCTCCCTCGACTTGCGGCTCGACTGGCTCGACTCTGGCGAGTGGCTTGCTCCGGACGAGGCGACGGCGGAGGCGCTTTTCCGCGAGGTGGACACGAGCGGCGACGGCTTCATCGACGTGGCCGAGCTGCGCGGCGCGCTGGCAAAGGCGGGCAAGGCGCCCTCCTTCGAGGAGGTGGAGGCGCTGCTGCAGACCGTGGACGCCAACGGCGACGGCCAGATCTCGCTCGCAGAGTTCAAGGCGGCGCTGCTGACGCCGCAGGCGATGCCCCCCGCGCTCAAGGGCCTCATCTCTGTGGGCGAGGTTGTGATGTCCCGGCTCGGCGCGGTCGGCGGCGGGCTCTCGTCTGCGCAGCAAGCCGCGGGCCCGAGCGCTCTCGCCAACTGGACAAACGCGACGGCGCTGGGCGCCGCCGGCTCCGCGGTGACGAGCGGCTGGTCCGCCGTGTCGAGCGCGGGCGCCAGCGCGGCCAGCAGCATCGGATCGCTGCTCGCATGGCGGCCGCGCGGCGCCGACGCAGACGCTTGATACTTGGTACATTATTGCGCCCGGACGCTCTGTGGAAGCCCGGAAGGGGAAGGCTTAGTACCGTGTTCAGTTGTACACGCGGCTCTCTGTCTACACACTACAGTACGCACGTATGATCTATGCGGAACGAGATCACCACAGCCACGCAGGTGTCGCAGGTGTCCGAGTTCGTCGTTACGCGTTTATATTACTCTATGGCGAGAAAAGACTAGAGTCCACAGTCGACAGTAACGTACCCTACGGTAGGGTAACCCTACAGCCCAGCCGTAACGTATCCACCGTAATAAAATCAGCCCTGATCTGGCATCTGCACGTACGGGTTTGGCGCGGGCCGGATAAATCTCGGCGACACCGACCGGAGCAGCCTCGTTGGGTTGGCTGCTCGCAGCTGCCGTCCCCTCTTCTGCGGCTGGACGGGTGCTCGCTCAACGCGTTCTCGCGGTTCGTTGCTCTGCTGCTGCTGCTGCTGCTGCTGCTGCTCGTCAACGTCCTCCTCCTCCTCCTCCTTCTCCAGAGGGGGCACGTCATGCACGCGGTGCCACCTGTAGGCCTCCTTCCGGTCCTGCCCCTCAAAGGATCTTTCCCCTGCCTTGCGGACCCAGTACTCGGCGTCCTCCCGCGTGGCTCGCCACGCCTCGCACAGAAAGTAGAGATGGTAGCCGACGAGGTACGCAAAGAGGAGGGGAAAGCCCATGGTGTCCGAGAACGCCAGGATGTCGTGCTCGCCAGCCTCGACCTTTGCGACGGCGTTCTGAACGACGACGAGCACCTGCATGATGAATCCGGCGAGGACGTACTTGTCCAGGATCGTCGAGTAGGAGATCTGCGGCAGGTAGGTGTTGACGAGCTCTTTAAAGGCGACGGCGGTCAGCAACAGCGTGAGCGAGAGGCCCATGCGGTCCTCGAACTGTGCGGGAGGCACCAGCAGCACGAAGAGCGACGAGCCGACGAGCGCAAAGTCGATCAGGAACACGTTCATCAGGTAGTACCAGTGGTTGCGCTGCACCGCAACCTTGATGTTCAGGTCCTGATACCGGATGGCTGATGAGCTCGCCGCCTTGTCCGCAGGTTTGGCTTCCACACAGACGTAATCCGGCGGGCGATACTCTTCGAGGATGAAGGCCGCGCGGTCGAGGAAGTCCGGCTTCTCCGCCTGATTGGAGACGCCCTGCCGCACAAAGCGCACGAACTCGAAGGACGAGCCCATGCGCACCGTCAGCCACTGCATGTCAAAGGGGAACTTGTGCAGCCTGTACTTGGTGCGGAAGACGGCGTGAACGCGAGCGATGAAGTAGATGCGGCGGTCCTGCGCATCGTGCACCTCTTCCTTCCTGTCGACGCGGAACCAGACCTCCGCGTCGTCGCGCTTCTCCTTGCAGTTTCGGAGCACGAGGCCCGGGTGCCAGCAGGTTTTCCGCATCTGCTCCTGCCAGCCGAGCTCCTTGGCCGCCGCCATCCAGTCCGGCTGCTCCATTCTCTCCAGCCAGCCGAGATCCTTCCACTGCAGCTCGACCTGCAGATCCATCTCGAACGTCTGCGCCTTGACGTCGATCTCGTTGACGGAGTGAATTGTCACCCGCGGCTGTACCTCGACGATGCCCTTGCCTTTGGGCCGTTCAGAGCTCGCGCTCACCGAGCAGAGTGGAGACGCCATGTACGAGCGACCCGCTCCAGTTGTTGGCCACCGTGTAGCGGCGCTGGGCAGCCATGTTTTTGCTAGCGCCTGCACAAACGCGCGGCAAGCAAGCAAGGTTGTAGCGGAAAAAAGAATTTTGTGGCCACACTACTCCTGAAATCGTCCTTTTAACACACCACACACCTCTCCTTAAAATCCCTGTATAATGCCGTCCTCCCATCCCTCCCTTGGGTTGTCTCTTTTCTTTCTTTCTTTCTTTTCTGAAATCGTCCTTCCAAAATCCTGTTGGGTTTGTCTGGACAGCAAAAGACACCGCCACATTCCTGAGACGAGCGAGGGCAGCCTCCTTAAAGGCGAAAGGGTCTAGATTTGGGGCGCTCGCCGAAGAGGAGTACGACAAAATAGCGCCCGTGATTGCCTGCACGCTACCCGCACTCACGGACTCCATACCCGAAAGAAAGAGAAGGGAGCTCGCGGGAGAGGTGACGAGTGAACTACAGGTAGTGGGGAAGGCAGCCTCGATTGCCATACAGACATGGGTGCGAAACAACGACAAGACCAAGGCACGGGCAGAGGAACGAGAGAAGAATATAGGGTGGATAAAGCGCCTGTTCACGGCATGGAGGGTGAGCCACACCGAACGTACCGAGCGAAGAGCCGAGCGCGGAAGGAGGACGGGGAAGATGACTCCGAGGAGGACGAACCAGTGGAAATTCAGTTGTCAGATGTCACGATGCATCCGAAGGGGACCCCAGCGCCGGCATCATCCGTAGAGGCACGAGTGTTCGAAGAGAGAGTGGACCTGAGCAACAACATGACCTGCAGGCAAATGATCGGAGTGGGAGTCAGAAATGTGGTCCTTGCGCGAGGGGAGCTCGATAGACTCGAGGGGCCAGGATACGCCGCGAGGAGGACGGAGTTGCGCCGAAAGGCGAAAGAAGCCGCGAGAACAAGGGACCGGCAGGCGGCGGCGTCACAGGACGAGGCAGAAGGGAACGACGCGACAGAGGAGGAAATGACAAGGGAGAGATCGACGAGAGTGGGACGACCGCGAGGTGGCATGAAGGTTGCAGCGAGAAGCGGCGAGAGACTGCGAAGAGAGATAGGAAGAGGCAGACTCCCTAGGGTGGGCGACGCGGCTAGCGCATCACACACCTCTCCTTAAAATCCCTGTGTGGTGGCGGCGTGCCGTCCTCCCATCCTCCCTTGGGTTGTCCGTTTTCTTTCTTTCGAGCCTTTTTGCGCGGCGGTGAGCGACGCGTAGCGAGCGAACCGTCGGGGCGGGCGCCTGGCGGGCGGCTCCGCGGAGCTCCTTTGGCTCGGCGCGGGCGCGGGGGCTGGAGGACCGAGGACCCCATCTCCCCCCGCGCCCTCCCAGAGGTCTCAAGTCTCATGCACATATACACGACGCAACAGAGTCACGCGCAGCCCGACAGGGAGAACGACCACTGTGTGTGAGCTGTGACACACAACACACAAACAAGAGACCCCAATACCCAGACGGAGAGAGCGCCGTCGCCGTCGGCCCATGGTCGCACACACTGACGCAACCACGCATCCGACCCACTGTGTCCCAACCCTGCGGAACTCGCGCACCCGACGCGCACAATCCAATACGAGTACCTATCTGTCCAGTCTCGCCAGACGCCACGTCTCCCCTCCCCCCACTCCCCCTCCCCCTTACGCACCCACGCTGGCGGCGGGCTACGTCAGCAGCACCGCCAGCGCCGCTCAAAGGCCGAGGCGCCCAGCTTGACGGTGCGCGCCTTCTCGCCGGCGCCGTCCGCCCTCGCCTCGGCGAGAGCCTCCTCGATGGCCTCCGCCGTCGTCGCGATGGAGAGGGTGCCGCGCAGCCGGCCGAGGGGGCGGCCCGACTTGAGGTCGGTCGACGCCATGCCTTGCACGAGCGGCTCGTCGAACTCGACCTCGAAGCTGGGAGGCAGATCGCTGTCCTGGCTCCAGCCGACGGGCCGCAGCGGCACCTGGGGCGGCGGAAACGATGCCCTGTGTAGCGGCTCCCTTCTTCCCGGTGGCGAAAGGGCGCCGGCGCGGGGGGCTGCTTGGGAGAGCGCTGGCGCGCCGCGCGGGGGGACGCCCACACGCGTGAGTTCTCCGTCCTCGTGAGGGGGTGAGGTTGGGCTGGGGGGGCAGAGAGTGCCGCGGGGGAAAGATGAGGGCCACCTGCACCACCCCCACCGGGTCGTCCTTGCCCAAGATGACGTTGTCCTTGTCGAGCACCTACAGCAGGCAATGCACGGCATTGGCTGCGTCCGTGCCAGAGGTTGCGGCGACGGCGAGGCGTCGCTCTCGGGCACCGCGAGCAGCAGCGTCGTGTGCGGCAGCGCCGCAGTCCGCACGCCGCGCAGCCGCAGCAGCGGCACCTGTTGAGCGCGTGGCGGGTGAAGCGCGAGAGGCAGGTATCCGCACCTCGGCTACATCTCTGCACCTCGTCGTCGGCGTGCAGTCCTGCCTGCTACTACTACTGCTATCTACCTACTGCTACTGCTACTTCTAGTACTGCTACTGCTACTGCTACTACTACTACATCTCTGCACCTCGTCGTCTGGCCACGTGCAGTCCTGCCCGTGCTTGACGGTGCTGGCGGCGGCCTCGCCCTTCTTGAGGACGTGCTCGTGCGCCGCGCAATAGAGTAGCTCGTACGGGTTGGCGGAGACCACGCAGTACGGGTCGCAGCCGCCGGTGTAGTCCATGTCGACCTAATAATAATAATAATAATAATAATAGTAATACGAATATAATACTAATAGCATGTAAGATGTCGACCAGCTCGCTCGCAGACAAACCGCGTATCCGCACCGTCGGGCGGACGACGTCGAGAGAGGCGTACGCGCGCGAGCCGGTGAACGACGCCGACCCAGCCGCAAAGGAGCTGCTCACGTTGCCGAAGAGACTCGACTTACGCGACGACCCTCTGCTGCCTCTGCTGCCGCCGCTGCGCACCTCCTGCATGGTCCCGCGCAGCGCCTCGCTCGGGGTCAGGCTGAAGGTGGCGACGACGGGCTTGTGGTCGGACGTCGAGACGCGCGGCAGCGCGGCGAGGGACGTCTGCGACACGGCGCCGCGCAGTCCGGCGGCCGACTTCCAGAGCACGCGGTCACAATAGGAGGGGATGCGCTTCTGCTGGTAGACGAGCTCGCTCGACCGCTCCACCTTGAAGGTTGGCGCGAAGGCGATGGGCCCCTCCTCGAAGCCGACGAAGGCCTCGCCGGCGGCGCGGCTGGCTGCCAGCTGGTCCGCGCCAAGGAGCGCGCCCCAGTCCCCCTGCTCCACCAGCCGCAGGACCTGAAGCAGAGGTGCGGCGAGGTTAGTCGGCGAGAGGAGCTCCACCACTCCCCTGGCCGCGGCACCTGGCCGTGATGCTCCTCGTCGGTGGGGAAGGGCGCCTCCTCGCCCGCCGCCGCCGCCGCCGCGTTGAGGTCGGTGCGGTAGTTCAGGTCGCCGAGCCAAAAGACGTGGTCGAACTGCGCCGCCGCCGTCAGGTGCCGCGGGCCCAGCGCCGAGGCCGTCTCGCGGAGCAGCTCGGAGCAGTTGTGGTTGCGCCGTGAGAGCATGTGCGAGTGGGCCGCGAGGTGGCAAGAGACGAAGGCGAGCGAGGTGGCGCCGAGCCGCAGCCGCACGACGAGCCCGCCCTTGTTGCCCAGCATCCCTCCCGGCCCGCCCGTCGCTGCGCTTGCCACGTGCACTTTGGTGACGTTGGCGCGCTGCGAGGCTTTGACGTACACGGAGAGGCGCATCTCCCACAGCCGCACGTGCCGCACCGGCACGTACCCCCGCCCAAGCCGCCGCGCCAGCATCTCCTCCCATTCTGCGTGCCCCTTGCCGCCGCCGCCGACGGCGGCAGCGCTATCCTCTTCTCTTTCCTCGGTGTCGCCGACCGACGAGTGTGGCGAGCCGGGCGTTGGGGCGGGCTCGTAGGCGGAGTAGGCGGACCCCGCCTTCTCGGTCGGCTCCGGCGACTCCTGCGCCACCGCCCGCTTCTCCTGCGCCACCGCCTGCTTCCGCCCCCCCTTGCCCGCCTTGTAGGAGTTCTCCTGCGGCGGACGCGGCGGGGAAACCGGAGTGCGGGGCGGTGGCGGGAGCGGCGGAGTGCGCAATGCTCGGCGAGAGGCGGCCGCGGCGCGCGGGCGCTCAGACACCTGCGTGCCGACGACGATGATGTCCTCATCGAGCCCATCCGGCAGCGCATGCGCGAGCTCTGCGGCGACCGGCTTGGCGTTGCCGACGTTCCAGGTGAGACATCGGATGGTGAGCGGTAGCGCCTTATTGTAGGCGCGGGCTCTTTCCCTTTTGCCGGCACTGCTTGCGCGCGAGAGCGGCATGGAAACAGCGCGCGCAGGAGAGCGATGCCCTTCTTAGGCGGCTACGCCCTACAACGAGGTGGACGGAGTAACAGTCTTGTGAAAAGAGGTAACTGTCGTTGCTGTCTAGAGAGAGAGAGAGAGAGACACCCTCACCCTCTCCTCTCTCCTCTCTCTCTCTCTCTCTCTCTCTCCTCTCTCCTCTCCTTGTCTGTGCTGTCTGCCTGACTCAGGCACTAACTCTGCCGATGCGTGATTGTGTGTGGGCTGCTCCGAGGGGGCCCTCTGTGCGATCCGACGGGTAGGGGGGCTGTGCCCGGGCGGTGTCCGGTGTGGAGTCCCCTTCTGATCCCGCCTGGGATGTTGGGTGTGAGGTTGTGGCGGCTTCGATCCCAAGGGGGGGAGCTGATCCCACTCAATAACCAACTCTCAGGGGCAGTAGGTGGGCGAGCTTCAGGCACGCTCATCTCGATCGTCAAGACGTCGCTACGCGCGGTCTTCCGCGGGGGGAGCTGCGTCGACGGGTGCGGGACCGCGGCGCAGCCAGTGCCGCGGCGAGGCCTCCGGCTGTTTGCGGCGGGCGGCTTGCTGCTCGCGGCGATGGCGAAAAACTCGTCTCGCCACACGCCAAGGGCTTATGCTCTGGCGAGACGTGAGGCGCATGCGCCCAGGAGGGGAGGGGGCATGTGTAACGACACTGCTAGAGATGCCTTTCGGGGCCCAGAGATAAAACTTCTGTGATGCCATGCGTGACCTAGTAGTGTCCCCAGCTATGGGCGTGTCCACGTTGGAGCCAGGTGTGGTGTGGGCGCGAGAATAGCTCCGCCGTTCATGGAGGCAACCGATGCGAGTCGACTGGTGTGTGTCGTCGTGGTTTCGTATCAAGAATTCTCTCTCTCTCCGTTGCTGTCTTTCCCCCTTCTCGACTGTCTGTGCTTGTGCGTCTTGGGTCCGGAGTTGTGCGTTTATGTGAAAAAAAGTACTTGTCTCCAGCCCTCCCGCCCTCCAGCCCCTGTCTTGGTTTTGTTGCGGCCGCGGGTGGCGGCCGGCAGCAGCGGGCGCAGCCGGCAGCGGCCGCAGCAGGGAGAGAAGGGACGAACGTGGGGCAGGGGGCCATCTACTCCGGCAGCAGCTCTGCCGAGAGACGGCAAATGGGTGCAGTGGCGACTGTGGAGGCGGTAGCCACCGGGGACATGAGAGGACTATGGAAAGTTCACGTCATGACGGTTAGCCGCTGTCACGACCGTTAGCCGCTGTCACGACAGCTGGGAGCTGTCATGACAGCAAACGACAGCGACAGTGACACCTACCTGTCACCAGCTGTCACCAACCAGCTGTCACCAGCTGTCACCAGCTGTCGTTGCTGGCTGTCGTTGCTGCTGTCATTGCTGCTCTCATGAGCACCCCCGCAGGACAGTGTCACAATGGGATGTGGTGCCACTAACGAGAGAGACAGGACACTCAAGGTATACACGCACGCGCGCGCGACCGCTCACTCGCACGCCCGACGCCACATGAGAAACCCTCTCAACAGTAGCCACGCACCGTCAGCAGCGGGCGTGAGTCACAGAATCTGCAAAACCCTTGCCCTCCTTCCTCCAGCATGTGCCGTGATGGGCTCCAGCGCTGGTTCATCTGCCGCTCAAAAATCTCACGCGAGCGAACGGCGTCAATCATCAACCGCGAGGATTGGGACCTTGAAATCCACTTCGCAAGCAAACGCGCAGAGCATTGAGCAACACACCTCGGGTATTGAACCTCTTGGCCATTGCCGAGCCACAAGGCGTTGATCAGGAACTCTCATGTAGAGAGCTCGGCTCTGCTAAGAAAGCAGGCTCGCCCTACACAGAGAAATTCTGAGGTAGAGGAGCAGGAGTTTTGCAAAATGTGTGAGCCGTACAAACGCTGCTGTGCATCAAGCGCTGAGAGCTACATCCACGCGCACCGGTGTCTTATTTTAGTCCATGGGGTGTAATGCACAGATGGGTGGGTGGGCGGTTGGGCCCCTTTGCTGGTGCCTGTCCACTAGGGCTATGGCTGCCTCACTGTGGCGCTGCTGGCGCTGCCTCGCTGTCGCTGTCGCTGTCGCTGTCGCTGTCGCTGTCACTCGCAGGGTCCCGCGCTGACATTGTCACCGCCTGTCGCTGGCGTTCACTGGCTTCACTGTCACTGTCACTATGGCTGTCACTGTTCCCGGGTGCCTTTCACTCCTCCCTGGCAGCTAGCTGGCTGTGCTGTCACCAGCTGTCACCAGCTGTCACCAGCTGTCACCAGCTGTCGTTGCTGCTGTCGTTGCTGCTGTCGTTTCGCAGCCGCTGTCACGACATATTGACCACGTCGCGACCGTTAACAGCCGTTTTAACTTGAGCACTTGAGCACCGGATAGGGCCGATTCCGCATGGTACGGGACCCCTCGATCGTCTCGCCCACCCTCACTGGTGTGTTCATCGGGGGGGGTCATAACAAACACGGTACAGGTTTTAACCGTCATGACGTGAACTTTCCATAGTCTCTGAGGGAGCCATCCCCAGCTTGCGAGGCCCGGCAAATCACTTGTCGACAGCGCGCAGCGAGAGACTATATGGAGCACTGATAGGAATCCTACTCAACGCGAAACATGGGCGAAAAAAAATCCGAGAGAGTTGGAGGGCGGGAGAATCCAAAAATCCGGTGATGGCGTCGCCCTCCCGCAAGCGCGGCCGCAGCGAGGAGGAGCCCGTGGCGGTCGCTGCCGGCTTCGAGGCGCCCATCTTTGGCGTGCGCGCCGTCGGCCAGGTCACCACGCTCGTGCTCGAGAGCGAGGACGGACCTCTGGCGTCCCTCACCCTGCGCGGCGTCGCGAGCGATCACGCGGGCGCCTGGTACGTCGCGACTGAGGACTCGGTGCTGCACGTCTCGGCGGCCGGGCGCGTGCGCACCGTGGCGACCTGCGAAGGCGGCGGGTTCTCCGGCGTCGCCCTCAGCCCGGACGGGAGCGCGCTGTTTGTGGCGGATGCCGGCAACAACAAGATCCGTCGGGTGGAGGTGGCGACGGGTGCTGTGACGGCGACTGCGGGTAGCGGCGAAGGAGGCGACGCGGATGGCGTGGGCGGCGCGGCGGAGTTCTGCTGCCCATGGGGCGTCACTGTCAGCCCGGATGGCAGCGCGCTGTTTGTGACCGACTTCGAGAACCACAAGATCCGTCGGGCGGAGGTGGCGACTGGCGCGGTCACTACGCTCGCGGGCAACGGTGCCAGCGGCAGCGCTGATGGCGTGGGCGGCGCGGCGCAGTTCTACTACCCATACGGCCTCACAATCAGCCCGGACGGCAGCGCGCTGTTTGTGACGGACGCCGCCAACCACAAGATCCGGCGGGTGGAGGTGGCGACGGGCGCGGTGACGACGCTCGCGGGTAGCGGCGAAAAAGGCGATGCAGACGGCGTGGGCGGCGCGGCGCAGTTCAAGCACCCACACGGCGTCACGATCAGCCCGGACGGGTGCGCGTTGTTTGTGGCGGACTGCATCAACCACAAGATCCGGCGGGTGGAGGTGGCGACGGGCGCGGTGACTACGCTCGCGGGCAGCGGTGCCAGCGGCAGCGTCGATGGCGTGGGCGGCGCGGCGCAGTTCGAATACCCAGTGGCCCTCGCCACCAGCGCCGACAGCACAACGCTTCTGGTCCGCATGGAGGGCTCGGCTCTCCGCCAGGTCTGCGTGGCTGCGCCGCCTCCGCCTCCCTCCTTCGCGCCGCTCGTGGTTCCGCCCTCCACCTTCTCCGCCGACATGGGCAAGATGTGGGGCGACGCTACTCTGCCCCAGGGCATGGTCACTTTCCTGGTCGGCGACGACGAGGAGCGCATCGAGCACGTGAGCAAGAACGCTCTCTGCGTGCGGTCCGTGTTCTTTCGGACCATGTTTGGCATCGGCATGAAGGAGCGCGACGCCGCCGAGGTCACGGTGCTCGAAACGGACCTCGCGAGCTTCACCGCCCTCGTCCGCTACCTCCTCACCGACCAGCTCGACCTCGGCGAGGGGGAGGGCGAGCAGGCGCGGCGCGCGCTCGTGCTGCGGCAGCTGGCGCAAAAGTACCAGGTGCCGCGCCTCGAGCTGCTCTGCGCGCAGGCGCTGCAGGAGAGCGTCGGGCCGGCGACCGCCGTGCCGCTGCTCGAGGCGGCGCACACGATGGGCGACGGGCGGCTCCTCGCGCAGTGCCGCCGCTTCGTGGCCGACCACGCCGCCGAGGTGCGCGCGAGCGGCGGCGTGGAGCAGCTGCGCGACCTGGGCGTGGCCAAGGGGCTGCTCGGCGACGCGCTCGACCAGGTGGCGGAGCTGCAGAAGGGGGCGCTGCGCAGCCACTCGTAGTGCGCAGCCACTCGTGGTGCGGAGCGCCACGTACACAGTGCATATTGGCTTCCTTCGTCGTTGCTCGTTGACGTTGTTTTGTTGTGACACTTGTGTAAGGTCTCTCGCTGTGACGAGATTGACACAATTGGCATGCGCCATGCCGTCTCTGGACTCTGCAGCGTGCAGTCTGCAGACTGCACCAGAGAGACTGCAGAGCCAGTGTTGCTCCGTATCACGCGCCGCCCGCCGTAAGGAACTGCAAACGATATACAACTGGTAGTGGTACTCGTTACGGCTGGCTCACTCTCTCGGGCTCTCTCTGGGCCTGCGCGTCCCTCGCGCACTTTCGCGTCCGGCGGTAGTTGAGGACGTCCTTCCGCGTCACGTGGTAGCCCTCCGCACAGAGCAAGTCGCGGGTGCGCGCCCCCGTCTCGCCGGCTGTACGGACCAGCAGCGCCTGCAGCGTGGCGTCGCCCTCGATCAGCTCGAGCTTGAGCGGGTTGCCTACATGAAGGAACCCCTCGGGTCACCTCGCGTCACCTCGGGCAATGTCGAGCTTGACGCGGGCTGCCGCGGTAGGCCGAGCAGCAAGGCGCAGTCACCGAACAGTTGCCGCCGCTGGATCCTCGACGGACGCAAGTGAGGCCGTTGCTGACGCAGTACTCGCAACTGCCGCCCGGAAGCCTCACGCACCGCAACTTCTTCTCGTGGCAAATTGCGCACGCGCTCCCCGGCGGCGGACGCCCCTTGCCGCCGGCAGGCACCGGCGGCGGCGCAACCTCAGAGCAAGGTGCGAGGGCGGCGGAGGAAGCAGCGGCGTCGGCGGAGGAGGCAGCGGCGTGGGCGGAAGAGGAGGCAACGGCGCGGGCGGCGGAAGAGGGCGCGGCGGCGGAGGAAGGGAGGGAGAGCAGAGGCGGGACGGGCAGAAGCACGGGGCCCGGCAGCAGGGGAGGGACCGGCAGCTGGCCGGCAGCGCCGGAAGTTCGGCGCTCCGGCGGCTCCCCGACCGACCGCGCGTACGCCGCCGCCGCCTCCACCGCCGTGTCGAAGGTGCCGATGTTGACCAACGTCCCGCCCACCGTGTGCTTCGCCCGGAAGCGGCCAGAGGGGAGCTTGGCCACGCGCTTGTAGCCGGTGCTGCTTTCGCTCGAGAGGTGGAGCTGCAGCCCCTCCGCCTCCGTAGCGAGGGAGGGCCCGGCAGCAGAGGAGGAGGGCCCGGCAGCAGAGGAGGAGGGCCCAGCAGCAGAGGAGGAGGGCCCGGCAGCAGAGGAGGAGGGGCCGGCAGCAGAGGAGGAGGGCCCAGCAGCAGAGGAGGAGGGGCCGGCAGCAGAGGAGGAGGGCCCAGCAGCAGAGGAGGAGGGCCCAGCAGCAGAGGAGGAGGGCCCAACAGCAGAGGAGGAGGGCCCAGCAGCAGAGGAGGAGGGCCCAGCAGCAGAGGAGGAAGGGCCGGCACCTCGCGCCCCTCCCCTCGCTGCGCCGCGCGACGCCGCTTCCGCGCGAAACGACGGCACGCCCTTCCTCAGGGCGGCGGGTAAGCACAACTCGAGCAGCCGAGGCGCCTTCCCGCCCCCGCCCCCGCCCCCGCCGTCGGCGCCGGAACCCTTCTCCGCCGCCGCGGCCGCCTCCTCCCGCCTCTTCCGCTTGGTGCGGTAATTGCGCGGCTCCGCGACGTACCTAAGCAAGAGAGTGCGACTCGCACAAAGGGAGAGGCGTCCAAACGGACCCCACACGGCTCCGCGATGCACCCGGGCCGCCGGCCGCGCCTGTCCAACTCCTCCTGCTTTCGCCGTACCGCCGCCGCCCGCTCACACTCCCTCAGCGGCCGCTTGCGCGAGTTGCCGTCCCGGCCGGGCGCGCGAAACGCGTCCGACTCGCGGCACGCAACGCACGCGCCGCAAAAGGCGCTGTTGGCCCGAGAGGCACGGAGGACCTCCAGCGACAGACCCTGCGCCACCTGCTCCGCCGGCGCCATGACGAACACCAGCTCCGCCTACGCACGTACCCCCCCACGCATCGAACGAGCGGGTGGACTCGACCCCGCGGCGGCACGTCGCGCAACTCCGCCTCAAATCTCGCGAGCATCTCCTCGGCCCTCCGCGCCACCGCCGCGTCAGCGCCGGCCGGGACGCACTCTCGCACGGCGCTGCCCACCCCTCGAAGCATCTGCTGCACGGCGAGCCGGTGCGTGTCCCAGAGCTTGAGCCACAGCCCGAGCCTATCGGCCGTGTCGCGGACATGTCATGGACGCGTCATCGACGTGCCCCTCTTCCTGAGCCACAGCCCGAGCCTCCGGTCGTCGGGATCGCCGCCGTACTGCCGCACCGTCCGCCTCAGCTGGTGCCTGCGCGACACGTTCTGGACGTGTCACGGACATGTCATGGACGTGCCGCACCGACCACCTCAGCTGGTGCCTCCACTGCTCGGCCCGCCGCTGCTCCGGGTCGCCGCCGCGTCGCCTCTGCCGCCCCGCCGCCCCCGCCCCCGCCGCCTCTCCCTCCTCCTCCGCCCACCCCTCCTCCTTCTCCTCCCCCTCCTTCTCCACCGCCACCTCCTCCTCCTGCGGCTCCGCCTCCACCGCCCCCTCCTCCGCGGCCGTCTCCTCCTCGCCCTCCTCGCCCTCCTCCTCCTCCCCCTCCTCCTCCCCCTCCCCCTCCTTCTCCTCCTCCTCCCACACCAGCGGCACCGCCCCCAGCCGCGCCCTCTCAGCCTGCAGCTCAAAGCTTCCCGGCTCTCTCCCCAGCACGCACCGCAGCCGCCGCACCAGCCCCGAGCTGAGGCCGGACTCCACCGCGGCCGCCTCCTCCGGCCCGCGCAATCGGACGAGCGGGAAGGTCTCCTCCCGTTCGCCTCCGCCATCGCCTCCGCCGCCGCCGCCGCCTCCGCCTCCGTCGCTACACATCGAAGCGTCGCTGACCACTTCTCCGGAGAGCGCGTCGTCCCGCTCGAGCGCCACGTGCCGCTGAGAGACCCAGATGCCTACCGAGCCGAGAGGGCGCCGAGAGAGCGCCGAGGTGTCGCCGCGCGCCACGTGCCGCTCCGAGACCAGACCGCCGTACGGGCCGCCGCCGTGCAGCGTGCCGTGGCGGGGCGGGCGGCGGAGCGGACGCCACCCAGCACCTCCTCCGGCACCGGCTCCTCCAACCCCCTCCGTCGCCGCCTCCGTCGCCGCCTCCGTCGCCACCTCCGAGCACTTTCCGGCGTGCCTTGCGCCCCGCACGCACCGCGGGTTCCTGGCGCACTGCCCCTGGCCACGCGGCGCGCTGCGGTCGGACCGCTGCCTGTTACCAGCGGACCGCTGCCTGTTACCGCCGGACCGCTGCCTGTTACCATCCCGCTACGAGTCACAGGCTGCTGCCGTCTGTGTGCCATCCGTATGCCCACCTGCCCGGAGCGCTATGCTCGTCCAGTTCTCTACTCATCCCAGTGTGAAGCATGTCTGTCCACAGCGGCTCTATCTCGACCGCATCTCGCCGATATCTCGCTGCCTCGGCTCGCCCTCGATCATGCCGCGGAGCCACGCAGGGTCGCGAGCGAAGGGGCCTGTCGGCGGCCTGCCCTGGTGCGTGTCCTTGTACCGCTGCTGCAACGCTTCGATCTCTGCCGCCGCCTGGCCCTCTCCTCCTGCACCGTCTCCGCGCCGCGGCGGCAGAGGCAGAGGCGGTGGCCGCTGCCTCTGCTTCAGCTGCAGCTGCTGCTGCTTGCACCAGCGCTCGTGGCTCGACTTAGCTCCGGCATTGGTGAGCGCGCGGCCGCAGTATTCGCACAGCCAACGGCTCGCCCCGCCGCCGCCGGCGAGAGCGCCGCCGCCGCCGGTCGGGTCGGCCGCGCCGCCTCTCGGGAAGAAGTCTGCGCCTCGGCTGGGCGGAAAGTTGAGGTGGCGGCAGCCGGCGGCGCAGGAGGGCACTGCGCACCCGAGCCGGAGCTTCTCCGCGTCGTACGCGCGCGCTGCCGCCTCCTCTCCGTCGAAGAGTCCGAGCGGCCGCACAACTCCTCCCTCTTTGATCTCTGCCTGCCAGCGGCCGTCCCATGTCCTGCTCACGCCGCGGAAGATGGAGCCCTTGCGGCTCCTCCGGTGGGACCGTTTGCTCTGCTGCTCGGCCGGCGGCCGTCGCCACGGCACCTCCCACCAGTGCCGGCCGGCGGTCGCCGCGGCCGGCATGGTAGTGTTTGGTAAGCCAACACCGCCGCCCTCGCCCTAAGAAATTTTCTCGCGGGCACGCGAGCGATGTAGAGCGCGATCTTGCTGTACTCTCCTGCTCTCTCTCCTGCTGTACGACCTTCGTACGTACTTTTAGCTTACATGCCATGCGGCACCGATTCGTCGCAGTGCTTCTTTAGCAGGCGGTTAAGAGACTAGGCACTCACGGGCCAGGAGCGTTCTTACAGGCCTCGTCAGGTTGTTGCTCATGGTGCATTCACTCACACCACCGCAGTACAATCGATTGAGTCCGGGTTTGCGCGAGCGCGCTCGTCGGCGGCCAGCCGTCGCGGGCCGGGCCGAGCCCGGCCTCGACCGGCCGCGCCGCCGCAGCAGGCCGGGAGGCCCGAATGGCGGCCGACCAGCTGATAAACTCTCTTCTTGAGGCCGTGTCGGCGCCGACCTGCTCCCGCGCTGGCCACGCATCATCGCGAGCAATCGCGTAACGGGAGGCTCGCTGGGTTTTTGTGGCTTTTTGCGCGGCTTTTGGGGATTCTCCCGCCTTCCTACTACTCTCTTGGGTTTTTTTATGCGTATGATTGTAAGGGCGTAGGGACCCGCCCCAGGACAGGCTCTGGCGTTCTGATGGAGCGCTCTGGTGCCGAGGAGAGCCGCTGGCACGAGGTAGATGTGAAGCCACGACGGGTCGGTACAGCAGGCCGACCAGAGAGTGCAGAGTGAGCACTGCCCCTCTCCAAGATCGACTCCTGTGGAGAAGCCCGCCTAGGACCATCAAGGGGAGGCCAGGTACACTTGACCCGCGCAAAGAGCTAGATGCAGCTGTCACCATTCTACGGCCTCAGAGCGTATGCCTTGCCGCCGGACGGTGGCGGTAGTGTCGGTGGTTGGGCCGTTTTGCACGACGGCTGTGGCGGCGCTCTGGAGGGGAGGGCGGCCACTTTCGGGTGGTGGATGACCGGCTTTTGAGGTCTTGCAACCCTAGCTGTGACAGCTTCGGACAGCTCGCGCAACCCTAGGAACAGCGGGCCGGCTAGTGTTGATGCCACTCAGCCCGGGACAAGACGGGGGTGGTGGAGGTCCGAAATCACGCCGCTATGCCTCGGCTCCAGCGAGGCCTCTCAGGCCCTAGCTCAGGTATATGCAGTAGTCGGAAGCAGGGAACACCCACCCACCCCCCAGCACCAGTCTTCTAGGTGGAGGCGGGCCCGCTGGTATCGTCGGGAAGGTCGAGGAGGGTGGGTGGATGAGCGAGAACCTGTCGAGGCCTAGGACGGGCCAGGCGCGCACTAGCACTAACACAGGTACAAGGTAAAATTAGCCTCTCGTTGGGGCGGACTTCGGCGGGCGTCTTCTTGGCACGGCAGGGTCGACTCACCGGTGCCTCGGATCAACGCTGGCCTGCCCCAACATCTGCAGCGGCGCGAACGAAATGCACATACTCAGAAGCACGGCGAGCCGCGCCCTGCTTGCGTTTTCTGGGCCATGACGCGGGCGGGAGCCAAAAGGGCTGGATACAGCGCAACCGCGACGAGTCATGACGACCTCGGCACTGGAATGGAAGAGGCTTGGATGCCGCCGCTCCAATCTCCTGCCGGGTGTCACGATCTGTCAGCAGAAGCGTTTAGCTTTTCTGCGCACCATGCATCGGTTGGCCGGACGGCACTCGTGCTCCTCAACATGCTAGAAAAGCCGGGCAGGGACGGCGTGCCTCAGGTGCATCGCCTCGAGTGCATTGCGGCAAGAGACCACAGACCGCGATGATCCCAACTCCACAAAAACAAACCATCTGTCTCTCTCCCACCTCCCCCCAGAGACGCGCCTCCGGACCGCGATGATCCCACAAACTCCCCACCCACAGGACTGTGCCCTGGCTGGCCGAGCCTGCGCCCAGGGGAGCTGTGCCTCCGAGGCGCGCTCAGTCATGCCGCAGATCGACAATTTCCGCGCTGCGGGCCTCTTTGCGCAGCATAGAGGGGGTGTGGTCCTAGTCTTCGACACCTTTGACAAAGCATCGCTTTCCCGTGCTTGGGAAAACGAAGGTGCGTCGGCTAGCCACACACTCCCTGCCAATCGCCACCGATCCCGAGGGATCTTGATGCCAAGATCGGCGAATGAACAGGCGAGGTTATACAGGCGAAACTCGGCGCGAGGGTGCAAGCCACGAGGGCGGCACTGCGGGCGCGGAGCGGCAGCTGGGTGGAAGTGGATGTCGTGCTTCCCGGATCCTGCCTGGGCTTGTGGCTGCGGAGGCAAGCCTTTGGCGCGGCCGCACTTGGCCAGCCGCTCTTCAAGAACATCCTCGGCTACATTTGGGGCATGTGGCGCGCCGCGCAAGTCGCCGAGTTCGCGCTGCACGTCGATGACGACGTACGGCTGGTAAACGATTATGCCTCACGACTCTCAACATGCCCCGGTCCCGGGTTCATGACGGTCCTGTCGTGACTACAGGCGCCCGCGGCGTACGTGCCGCCGCCACACCTATCGCCGCGCTGCTCGTCTGCATGGAACACATCGGCGAAAGGCGCGTGGCTGGTTGCGCCGTTAGCTTGGCTGCATGCGGCGCTGCGCGCGCGCCCGTCGCTGCTCGCTCTAGGCTTCGAGAAGGCGAGGCTGCGCGAGGCATTTCGGTGCGAGGTGACCGATGTTGGCGGCTGCCGCTGCGGACTGCCAAAGATCCCGTCGGGCGAGTTAGAAACTTCGGGCCCTCTGCTCCTCTCCGGGTCGCCGCGGGCGCGGCACCTTTGCCCGCGGGGCTCCGCAGCCATCTGCGCGCAGGAACCCACCCGGCTCGATGGCGGCCACTGTGCGTACGGGCGTGAGGGCTACACCCCGCACGGCCGCCTCTTCTCCATGCGAGCCTTCCTTGCGCGCTCGGCGGCGCTCGTGGCGGCATGGCCGCTCGAGCCCCTCCCCGGGTTCATGAATCGGCACAACCACACGGTGCTCGCGCGTTGGAGCTGGCAGCCGCGGCTGGAGATGAACCGCGTTCTCGCAGCCTCGCACCCGGAGCTCGTCTACGAAGCGGCCGCGATGGCGCGCGGACTGCAGGTGCTGTACGTCGACCCATGGACCGCGGGTCTGCAGCGTGTGGACCTGATCCCGTAAGTACAAGAGCGTACTACGCTGAGTGTAGGAGCCGTACACCTATAGGCCGTAGAGTAAGCACAGGATTACAAATTCTAAAATTCTAAAATGGATACCTGGAGTGTGGAGAAGAGGTACCCCATAAAGCCCAAAATGCCAGATAAGAGCAAAAAACTATCCGCTAAAACTGTCTAAACCACGGTCGCTCGGGCCGACGGCGAGGAGGAGGGTCCAGGGAGTCAGAGGACACGGCGCGAACACTGTGATTGACGACAAGGATGAATCCACCGAATTGTACACAAGAGCACTATGGCATCATGAGAGCTCAACTAGGAGCGTTAGGCTGAAGCTGGCCGCTGGGGAAGATGGAGCTGAAGGAGCGCTGCATGGGCATGCGGCCCCTCTCGATGGGGCTAGCGGCAGGCGGTCATCTTGAGGCCGTCGGGGGTATGGTACCGGCAGAGCGTTTGTCCGAGCTGCCTCTTGAGCGCCTGGACGTGGGGGCGGTGGGCGCGTCAGGCAACCCCTAACCCCCCCCCCCCCCGGCGGATGCCCCTCGCCGCCCACCGAGTAGAAGCCGCGCTCGTCCGCCGCCACGCGGGCGCGGAACGGCGCCTTGTTCTGCTCGGTGAGGAGGGAGAGGAGGCCGCGGAAGACCTGTGAATGAAGAGAACAAAGGATGTGAGACAGGAGGCCGGGAAGAAGAGCACCTGTCGTGCCGAGGCATCGAAGGTGGCGCGGGGCGGGCCGAGGCGCGAGGTTGGGCGGGGGCAGCGAGGGGCGGGCACCGCGGGACGGGCGAACGGTAGCGCGCGCGGCGCGTGGGTGGGTGGATGAGTGGGTGGGTGGGAGGCGGGAGGATCAGCACCTTCGGCGTCACCCACCGCACCAGCGAGGGCGGGATCAGCCAGTGCGGGACGGCGATGTTGGTCTTCATGAAGGTGGTGATGTCGATGTGGCCCTCGACCGCGGAGGAGGGCGCGACCACCCACGCGAAGCCGTCGACGTGCATGCGCACCCGCCGCGGCAGCCGCGGCAGCACCCTCCAGCCACGGTGCTCCTACGGGGGACGCGTCATGGACGTGTCGCGGACACGTCCCTGAGCCAGCCGCGGACGCAGCCTCCCGCGGCTCCTCCTCGTCCTCCGGCGGAGAGCTGTGCGGAGGCGTGGGGCAGGGCGTGAGCTCACGGGCAGGGCGCGCGCGGCACTGGGTGTAGAGCCGGGGTGCAGAGTGAGCTGTGGCACCGTGCAAAGCCGACGCAGGCCTTGCCGGTGCCGTCGCCGCCCACGTCGCTGCGCACGACGCCGACGGCGCAGCAGACCGAGTCGTAACCGGGGAAGGGTCCCCACGGCTCGATCGCGACGTGGTAGACCACATTGTTTGGCGCAAACTCGTGCACGTTTGCAATGTGCTCGATCCGCGGCAGACCCGGCCAGCGCGGCAGCGGGATCAGATCCGGCTCCCGTGCGAGGGCGACGCACTCGAGCATCGAGAGCGGCACCGCCTCTATCTTTTGCGTCACGAGGGCGACGTGCGACGACTCCCAGGTCATCGACAGCTCGTACCTAGCCGTAGCTCGTGGTGTGGGGCAGGGTGTCAAAACAGGGTGTCAAAACATGGCCACCTTTCGCGTTGCTCACCTGCAGCTGCCGCTCTCGGCCAGCGCAAAGATGGAGGGTGACCCGCCATGTGCGTGACGCACCGACTGGATGAGAGCGTGTGCTTCCCGCAGCTCTCTGCGCTGGAGCGGAGTCAAGTCTCCCAGCCTCCCAGCGGGCTCGTCGAAGAAGGAGCCAGCGTCATCAAGGCACGAGCAGGTCTCCCGGGATGAAAGCTCACTCTCCGGGTCAACCTCGTCCTCGTCGAAGAGCTGGAGCTCCCAGCGGAAGCCGCCGAGCAGCTTCATGATGGGCCGCACTGCAAAACGCGCGAAGCGCGGCCGATGCCGGCTCAGGAAGAGTGCACTGCAGCCGAAACCTCTCACAGACACAGCACCATAGCGAATAGCGTGATAGTTCTGGCTTTGACGTTTCTGAACCAAGAAAACTCAGCGCACAGGGTGCGGGACTGGCGCACATGTCACTAACACAGGTGCACTACTGAAAAATAATTTACGGGGAAACTCTCTCAACAAAATTAACGTGAATTCGCTTTCTTCCTATGTGCTTTCATGCTGTTGTCATGCTGGTTGCTGCGCCGCCCAGGCCGGTCTTTACTCAATTTCAACGGCGACGTTGCCGCCGTCACCGCCCCTGCCCCGGCCTTGCCAGAGTTTGTCCGCACTTGTATGGTCTGCTCGCGGCCAAAACGTGCAGCGCGCCATGCAGAGCCAAGTGATGCAAAATAGGCATGCGAACGCCAGCAGCAACGCACGCGGCATCTGACTGAGCCCAACCACTTCTGGGAAATCCATCATACAGAGCAAGAAAAAAGCGGAGAGAGAGGTAAGCAGCATTTCGGTGGCACCACGCACTGCAGCCCAGGCAATCGCCAGGTTAGCCTGGGACGCAAAGGTTGGGAGGTCTGGCTGGTTGCTCGAACGTGCTAGGCGCGCGCCCCGATCGAAGGCCATGGCGACAACTGACGGAACCACTGCAAATGTTGCGACTGCAATCAAGACGAAGCAGAGGGCTTGACTGAACGCCGAGGTCTCTCGGAGTGCTGCATTGATGAAGCCGAATTGGAGGCATACAAGTGGGAGCATCACCAGCAGCAGCGTCGAGTACGGCAACGTGGTCCCATCTCCGTGATGTAGTCGCTGCAGCACCTCGTCCTTGAGTGCAGTTCTCACCATCTGATTGAATGCATCCAAGCCGTCCATGCCATTTTGCGCGTACATGGAGCCGATCGCGGCGTAGATTTCGACGCGATCGGCGGCACTGTAGCACCCGGCTGCCCGTACGTCGAACGACTCGAGGTGCTTTTGGAGCGCGACCCGCTGAAGCGCCATATCAGCACCGAACATGGTAGCGCCAATGCAGATTAAGAAGTAGCCAAAGCCAATGACGAAAACAAAGACGAGGAAAAGGAGTAGCACTTCGGTTTCCCACCACCCTTGTCCCAACAGGGCTGGGCCTTGCAATGATCCAGGCATGTCGCCGTCGAAGAGGAGAATGTGGAACACGACAATCATGCCAAACGCTATGGCCTCCAATGCCACGGTCACGAATGTAGCAATGGCGCTGCGAAGAGGGAGGAATATCACCGGCTTGTTAGGATGGATCGCAGAGAAAGTAGCCAACTCATACACACACCAGAGCCTGTCAAAGTAATGCTCGTCCCAGAGTACGAGAAGCCGTTGCGACATGGCGACATAGCCGGCCAGGTGCCGAATGCCTGTCGTTTTTAGGGCTCTGTTCGCTTGGTGGATGCACGCCGCATCGACGAAGTAGATGCGTTGCTGCATAGCAAGGAGGAGGAAGGCTGAGGCAACGGCGGCGAGCAGGCCGGCTAGGTACTCCCACGGCGATGCGAGGAGAACGGTCGGGTTGTCGGCGACCATCAGCGTTCTGACGTTACCCGGCAGCTCCACAGCGCGCTGCAGGCAGCTCATCGCGAGGCAGGCGAAAATTGCGACAGCTACAGGCAGAAGGCCAACTTCGTGGAGAGCCAGGGCCATCCACTTGCGGTTCCCATCGGAACGCCAAGCGTGGGAGACAAACGAGTCGATGGCGGAGACAGGCCGCGACCGTTCGAAGAGGCGCTCGCGGTCGTCAAGTGCCAATTTGTCCGGCAGCACGGTGAAGATGTTGGTGCAGGAGGCCAGCACGCTCTGCACACTGACGCCCCTCTGCAGCTCTCGCGGTGGGAAGAGTTTGCTGGTGGCGTTGATGTACAATGAGACATTTCCTGCCTGCGCCACGGCGGCTTCCGCCGCCCTCTCGAGAGCCGCGGGGGCGGTCTTCCTGTCGTGCTGCATCGCGAGGCGACGCTGTGCCCAGGAGAACCCCACGACCTTGTTTTTGGCGCTAAGTCATTTCAATTGCCGCGGCCCCGGCCACTTTCGCCGAAACCTCGGTATACACCACGCCGGTGTCCAGTCCTTACTTAGGAGAGAGAGAGAACACAACCCCCTCTCCCTTTTCTCCCAGTAAGCTAAAAGTACGTACTTAGGCGATACACCACACGGCATACTTACTTTCGTAGCAGCGCGACGAGGTCCAGGAGGACCTCCTTGATGTGCCGCGTCTGGTTGGTGGCCCGCCGCGCCGTCGTTCTGCGCCACGTCGCCGAGGGCGTCAAAGGGCAGATTGTGCTGGCGTAGATGCCGTCCGCCATGACGTCCGTCATCATCGACAGGTGCAAGCCGAAGCGGCGCTGCAGCGCGAAGCGCAGCACCCGCGAGGGCAGGCGGAAGTGCGCGCGGGTCGGGATCGCGTTCAAAAATGCCCGCGCCGAACTGGCTCGCCGAGTCAAACCGCACCTGCTCCCTCCTCCCTGCGCGGCCCGCCACCGCATGCATGTCCCTCCAAGCCGAATGGTGAATCATCGCGGAGTATCGGCGCTGGGCGTGTTGTAGAAGATTGCTGCGCGAGCTCCATTCGGTAAGCGGAAGGTATGCATGCGCCGGGGGCAGCCCTCTCGGGTTGTAGATGCGGTAGGCCCGGCCAGTATTGTCGTAGAAATAGTACGTCGTCTTGTCCTCTCGGTACTTGGCGTCGAGGGCGGCGTGCGCCGCCACCAGCCGCGCCTGGCGGCGTGCGACGTCGAGGTGGACCGGCAGCAAGACCACGCCCCCGTCGGATCGCGTCCACCACCTCCTCGTCGCCGCGCAGCATTTTTTCTCTTAGTGAGTGTGCCTGTGTTAGTACCAGGTGCCAGTCCGCGCCTGTGTAGCCTGTCTGGCTGTGAGAGAGAGTGTTGTGTTTAAATTCTGATTGTGTCGCCTACCTAGTTCCGCGGACGTAGACGAATGGGTTCTCTGCACGCGTGCAAGATTGGGCGTCTTCTGCCTCAGTCCCTTTGATGGGAGGCCCCAGGGTGGGGGCCACCTCGAACCCCAAGCCTGGGTTTCGAGTGGAGGGTGCCCCGGATTCACCTATCCGTCGGGCCCCGGTACATTCATCAGAACTGATCACATTGCGCAGCAGCCGCCCCTTCGCCGACCGGACGGCAGTGCGCTGCGCTGTCGCTCTGTCGTGCACGCTCTCGTGCTTCGTTGTGACACGGGAGTAAGGTCGGTGTTGGGGCGCCGGAGAGGGGAACCCCAATCGCAATGCAGTCGTCGCGCGGCGAGAGCGCCCAGGCTCTCAAGCAAGTGCAAGTTTCATCAAGCACATGCACATGCTCACAATCATGCGCATGCTACATCATGCACGTATGGATGCACAAGCACATGCGCTTTTTCACGAATGCCAAAATGTGCAATGCTTCTGCACTCATCTCGTTATCCACTCTTCTACATCATAATCATCCTCCCGCTCAATAGACTCAATGAACTGCCTCCTCGCATATCAACGAACGGCTGCGAGCGGCGATCCCAGGGACGCGCACGGCTGCGACGCGCGACGCCCTGGACAAGGGGACTACTTCCGAAATTCTTCTTTCACTCTACTGGGCCTCGGCAATTGCTGAATGCTGCTCGCCGTCCCCGCTCTTTCGACATCCGCCTTCGTTGCTGCCCAGCGGCCCGCCCTTTGCGGACGCGCACGAACCTGCTCGCCGTCGCTCAAGAGCGAGTCGGACCGGTATTCGTTTGCCGACCCGACGGTGATCCTCAATTCCTTCTTCAAGAAGACGCCGGCTCTCGGTGCGCCGCAGGAAGGAAGAGCACACGGTACACGACTCACGCCACTCTGGTCTCCACACCGACAGGCGCTCAGAAGTACTACACCGGCCTGCAGACAGACGCCACCACGGGTGCCGAACCGAGGCCCGCCGAGCCAGCTGCCGAGGAGGCGCTGGACCTCGTGTCTGATTCGTGCATCGACTGGGGCGCACTCTCGCCGCGCGAGGTGGCCGCTGCGTTCGTGATGCTCAAAGGCGGGCGGAAGCAGGAGGCTGAGTCGCTGCTCGTGTCCGTGCTGGCGGAGCTGCGCCAGATGAGGGACGCGTCGCAGGCGTGGGCGGCGGATGACGAGGCGGAGGTGTCCGCAGCCTTCTTCGATGGCGGCCGCAAGCCCGAGTCCGACCCGTCCAAGGCCAAGTACTACACGGGGCTCTGAGAGCGCCAAGACCTTTGCGTTACGTCGGGGTTAGGCGGCAGCGCCCCAGCCGCCAGAGTCCACGGGCAGCCAGCTTCGTAGACTAATCTCTTGTTTGTTATGTGTTGTCAGTACGCATTGCCCGACAGCTTCGCCCTAATCTCGCGCAGCTGCACGTCCAGTGCCGTCGTCACCTCGCACCACCCCGACGCGGCCAATAAAAAAGAAAGAAAGAACGCAGACAACCCAAAAGGGAGGGATGGGGATGGGGCCCAACCATGGGAGGACGGCAGGCCGCCAATAAATAGAGCCTTTTCTCGCTTCGAAAATTCTTTTCTCGTGTGGTTGTACCTGTGTTCTAGTGCCAGTGCGCGCCAGCCAGTGTCGACAAATCTCTCTCTCCAGTGTCGTGCCTACCGTATAAATAAATAAATGATCTCTCCATTGCGACGCAGCAACGCACCTTCTTTTTCTCGCGCCACTCCCGTGTATGCCCAGTGTCGCCCGCAGATTTTTTTTCTCGATATGTCAGCCTCCACGCCGCCGCCCGCCCGCCTCCTCGACCTCCCCACGGAGCTCCTCGAGCGCGTCATCTCCACTGGGGTGAACTGGACTGCTGTCGATGAGGGCGCTGAAAAGTGGAATTTGAAATGGATGTTGGAGGAGGATCTGGACCACCTGCGCTCGGTCGAGCGCGCCACCGCCTTGGGGCGGCTGGCGACTGTGCTCAAGTGCGCTGGCCGCGACGTCGAGCTGCTGCTTGCTTCGTTCACCGATCTGGTCAAGGAAGTCGGGAGGCGTTACCTCACTAAAGAAGAGGAAGCGCTCGTGGATGAGCTCGACTCAAAAGTGGGCCCTATGTGCGACTTCACAGCGCACCAGTTCCTGGACGCGCATCGCAAGAAGTGGGTGATGAGCTCAGGCAGGGTGATACCGAGCGAGAAGTGCCTCTTTTCCGGCCTCGCGCGCACCTACTGGCTCGAGGCGTTGTCGCTGGGCGACGCATGGGTGGAAACGCTGCGGGGTGAGCGGGCTGTCGACAGCGCTGCCGACGCACCCGGCCAGCCGCTACCAGAGCCGCCTCTGCCGCCGCCTCTTCTGCGCGCTCTCATCGACGGCACCCTTCATCATGGGACCATCCAGATGGAAGGCTCCCCGGGGCTCTCCGATCCACCGGCGCATAAGCCGCCGCTTCTTTGCGGGCAGCCAGCGAGACCGTCTCCGTAATATCGCTAGGCAGCCTCATGCAAGATCGCCCTCGTGTGCTTTTCGCCGTCGGCGTGAGTGACCAGTGCACGGACATGTCGTCGTGGCAGGAGATCATGCACGCGCTGCTTGTGTACACCATTTTACCTGGCCAACAGGCAGCCCAGCCACTCCTGGCCGTGAGCTACCCCCGAGCCGAGGACGGTTGCTTCGAATACACCGACGAACGCTTCACCAACGCGCTATGGACCGCCACGCCGGCCACGTGCTCGTTGCTTGCGGACGCTCTCGGCATTGACGTGAGTGGCGTGGGCGCCGCGCTTCGGTGGGTGCTCATCGCCGCCAGCAACAACGGGCACGGGCAGCCCTGGTGGTACCGCCTCGAGCGGCTGCAACGGTCGAGCAAGACGAAGCTGCGGGGCCTGGAGAGACTTGACTTCCAGAATTGCAGCGAAGAGCCGTATGAGTACCTTGCCCGCAAGCCGCCGCTGTACGAGTACGATGAGCTGCAAGAGCGGTGCGGCGAGACCTTCGAGTTCCTCCACGAGAGCCTGCTTGCAGACGTCGAGCTTCGCATCCTTGGCGGCGCCGCCGTGAAAGCCTTCCCCGAGCTCAAGTTGGCGTCGCACGGCGAGATGCCGATTGTCCTCCGCATCGATTCAACGGAACTGAAGCGCTGGCCGGAAGACGGCTACTACGGTGGCTCGCCTCGCGGTCTGCTCCTCTCGACGCTCAACGAGCTGGAAGCGAAGGTGGTGGCCGGCCTCTTCAGTCCGTCGCACCTGGTTCACTTTGTCTCTGGCCTGGGCGCGGGCGTGTCGGACGCGGGCGCTTGGGACTGGCAAGCGAAGGCTTTGGACCGCGTTGACGGCTTCCATAAGGCCGAGCTGCGGCGCCGCAAGCGTTGATCGCGAGATGCGGGCCATGCGCATGACAGATGACACCGACTCATCGACAAGCGATGTCGAACCTGCCCCCCCAACTGTATACAAACTGGGTGTGCGATACCCACCCGGCAAAGTGAATGCACGTCGTGAGCTGAGCGTGGAGGGGTCAAAGTACGAGACACACACTCGATTCATCAAAATGCACACGCGCTGTGCGGCCCTCGCGCTCGCCCTACAGCTACGGCTTTACACCGCAGCCCCCTAAGGATGCGGCCGACCCGACACGCGCTGGCGCACCACTTGCAGAGTGGCTCTCCTAGGCGCTCAAACCACGGCGGAGGCACGCCAGACCCCGGGCAGCCGGCCGTCCAATGGGCCTAAGCGAAAGAAAGACTTTAACAAACACAACCCTCCCTCGAAAGAAAGAAATTGCCCATCAGGACGGCACGCCCCCACTCGATCCAGCCCTCGCACTCCCCACTGGAGATCTAGCCGAGGCCCCCAGGCTGGGACAGGATTGGAGCCCCTGTGCTGTGCGTCTGTGGTGATATGTGGGGGACACTTTCTCCTCCCTATTCATGTGAGTCACTCGACTGCGTCGAGGGGGGGGACGTCTGAACCACAGCGTGTCCCGGTCCATAGTTTCTCTTCTTATCCGTTACCATGTAGAGCAAGGTCGAGGGCGGGCCCTTTCGGGCTCGGGCCGCCCTCTCGCCCGCACCTCTGCGGGGCTTGCACGAGTGGGAGCCGCGAGCGGATTCTCGCCGGCGAGAGCCATGTGTGCTTGGCGGTGCAGGCGGGCTTGACTACTTGGGGAGGAAGCCTTCGCGTGCGCCGCCTTTCTCAACGCCACGCCACCCCACCGGCCTGTCGCCGCGATTTCTCTTGTCCGAGCAACGCGGGAGGGTTGATATAGCCAACGACGCTCAACGCTCGGCTCGGTCTCGTGATTGGCGTGTACATACATGAATGCTGATGCCGGCGCACCTAGCCACGCCGCCCTCTTCACCGGCCAAGGCATCCCGTCGGGCCAGCTAGCAGAGCTCCGACGGCTCGCGACAGTGGCCGTGAGCCAGGCGTTTCTCGCCGACCTCAGCTGCTTCCTCGTGACTGAGGTGGGCCGCCTCGACGCCGCACTCGTCGGTCGGCACCTGGCGCACGGCCTGGACATCGCGACGTGGGCGAAGGAGCGGGCCTCGACGCCGGACCTCGACTACCTCAACTCGCCTCCGGTGGCGCTCGTGCTGACGCACGCGGTCCAGCTCGCCGCGTTTCGCTACTCCTGGCGGTGGCGTCCGGTGTCGGCGACAGACGGCACGGGCTTTCCCGGCGTGGCGGCAGCCTCCGGGCACAGCCAGGGCCTGGCGGCGGCCATGGTTGTGGCGTGCAGCACGGACGAGGCGTCATTTACCGCGCACTCCAAATCCTTTGCCCGTGGACTGCTCTATCTCGGCCTCGCTGTCTCCGAGGCTCTGTCTCTCGGCACGCCGTCTCCGCCGCCTCCCTCCTCGCCGCCGCCTCCCTCCTCGCCGCCGCCTCCCTCCTCGCCGCCGCCTCCCTCCTCGCCGCCGCCTCCCTCCTCGCCGCCGCCTCCCTCCTCGCCGCCGCCTCCCTCCTCGCCTCCGCCTCCGCCCTCCTCCTACGCCCTGGCGTTGACCAAGGTGGACGAGCGACGGGCGCGCGCCCTCGTGCAGGAGTACGCCGCCTCGTCGGGAGATCACGTCTCCCTGGTGGTCGCGAATGGGAGCGAGGCCTTCCTGGTCGCCGGGGATCCCTCCGCCCTGCGGCGGCTGCAGACGTGGTGCGGAGAGGCGCGTGTCCGCCCTAGACGCGGACTGCGGCTCCGTGTCCGTGTGACAACACGCGATGCTGAATACACGGCACGATATACGTCTCCACAAGCCCTGACTCTGGTGTACTCATGACGGAGTCGTATGCCCTCGGTCGCCACGAGGGTGCCTGGAACCTTCTCCGAACCGTCCCTGAACCGTCTCTGAGCCGTCTCCGAGCGTCTCTGAACCGTCTCTGAACCTTCCCATAGGCGTGCCGCCCGCCACGGCCGGCGACCCGGCTGCTTCCTGTCTCGGCACGAACCCACTGCAAGAGCCTCTCAAGGACACGTCCTGGACACGTCCTGGACATGTCCTGGACTTGTCCCACAGGCGCCGTACCACTGCGAGAGCCTCTCAAGGACACGTCCTGGACACGTCCTGGACATGTCCTGGACTTGTCCCACAGGCGCCGTACCACTGCGAGAGCCTCCTCTCCGGCCCGTGCGGGGCGGCGCTTAGCGCGCTGCGCTCGGCCGCCGGGCACGCCGCAGTTGGTAGCGACGCGTTGGCGCGGCCTCTCATCTCGTGCGTCGACGGCGCGAACCTCGAAGGCTCGTCCGTCGCTTGCCTCCACGAGTACCTCCTGCGCTCGCTCGCCATGTGGCCCGTGGACTGGCCAGCCGCCGTGCGGGGCCTCCTCCGCTGCGCGCCTTGCGTGCGCCGCTGCGTTGACTACGGGCCGGGCGGCGGGGCCGGCGCGGCTAAGATGAGCCGGCAGGCCGCGGCCAAGGAGGAGGGCGTTACTTTTGAGTACTACACGCAGCTGGTGCGACCAGGCCCGCTGCCGCAGTCCTGGCTTGCTTGGCTCAAGCTAGGGGAGGAGAGAGAGGGAGGGGGTCCGTGCGTCGTCGACGCGCCGTCCTGACTGCCATGTACTTCGTTTTTCTGGTGAGCGTTCTGTGCGAGTGGCCCGCCGCATAACGCATAACCATATAAGCGTGATAGTCATTAAGTAGTGGGGGAAATGGTGATTTTTGAATGAACGCCTCGCGCAAAACCACCGCTACCATGCCAAAGAAGACCCTTGTGGGCTATCCAGAACACCTAAGATCATGCCCTAGCTCTAAAGTGGGCCCGAGATACGCCAGCTAAACCCCGGATTTTTTCCGGCAGGCGACAACAGCCGCGGCACGAGGTCAGAACGCGGCCTCGGAGAGCTCGAGCGAAGGCGCCGACGGTGGCAGCCGTGGTAGTGGTTTATGGTAGAAGGCTCCTGAGCCGTCGGGCACCACGCTCGACGTCGCCGAGCAGCCGCACCTGTCGCGAGCGCCTGCGCGTCGGGCGCTGCCGGCTCGACCTCCATTTTCGGCGAGGTGTCGGGCGCGGCGGGCGGCTCCGGCGCCTCGGTGGCGACCGTGGGCTCGGTGGTCGCCTTGGGCTGCCTGTGGATGTTGTCGTTGGCTGATTTCTTATGCTTCTTGCCCGTTCGGCCGAGGCCTCGGTTGCGAGGCATCTCGGTACACGCGACGGCAGCACGACGTACACGACGAGGACGGCTCCTTGATGGCGACCTGCAGCAGGACGGTGCGCATGTTTGGAGCGTGGTAGCGGACGCATCGGGCCTAGCCCGGGGCCGTGGCGTGTACCGAGAGGCTGGTCTACCGAACACTTTTGGTGCATACCGGCCCAGAAGAGCGGCAAGGAAAAAATTTATTCGGACACTGTACTGAGCCATTTCCCCCACTACATTAAGTCTGTGTGAAAAATATGTGTGCTCGCGTTTTGCCGAGGTTTCGCTTTATTGCCGGGATCATTCGATTTCGTGCACGTACGCGGCGCACACCGTACACTCAGCGCCGCCGCCTGGGCGCAAAACGGAGGAAGCATGCAGAACCGCCAAACGACGTAGGAACGAGGCGTGTGCAGACCGACGTACACACGCGAAACGTACCGTAAGGGGAGTGCTGGGGGGCGCGCAGGGGGAGGCGGCCCTGGTTTGCGCTCGGCTGCGGGGCCAACGGCAGCGGTACGATGCCTCGCGACCAGGAGAGAGAGGCTACGCGTACGGGTAGATCTTGTCCTGCGTCGTCGCTTCCGCACTGGACACCTCGGTATACGAGGACATTGATGTCAGGCCAAAGAACTGGGCCGGGCTGACGAGGAGGCGTGTATCGTCAGAAGACTTGAGAGAGTACGGGGCGAGGTCGGCCATCCGGAAGCCGCGTGCACGGATGGCGTCGACGCACACGGGGCTCAGACGGATGCGTGAGAGCCGTGGGTGGAAGATGGTCGCGGTGGACAGCTTGAGCTTCTCGAGCTGGCGGCATCCGCCGAGCAGCGCGTCCAGGCCCTTGTCCGAAAAGTCGAGGTGGCCCTTCAGCGTGAGGGACTTGAGGTTCGGGCAGTTCTTGCCGAGCTCGATCAGCAGCGTGTCGGTGAGCCCCGAGTGCGGGCTCGTTTCGCCCATCCCCTCTGCGCGCTCGAGCTCGAGCTCCTCGAATCGCATCTCTCGCCCGCGCACGATTTGCATCAACTTGGACTCGTCGCAGTCGTACGCCCAGTGCCACTTGAACTTTCGCAGCGCGGGTACGGCCTGGAGATCCCAGTCGGACAGCCGGTGGTGGTGCGACACCTTCTTGGCGACGCCCAGATCGATCGCCTCGAGCGCCGGGAAGAGCTTCAGCAGCTTCTTGGTCGTGCCTTTGCCCCAGTCGTGGTTGCCCAACGCCACCGACCAGATGCCACCGTCAGTATTGAGCTTGGCCAGCGCGTCGAGGAGAGGCGTGACGGCCTTGCTCGTGCTGCCACCAATGAACTTTACCGTCCACATCAGAGCGTCGCCGTTCGGGGAGGCGGGCAACAGTGGGGACTCGCGGTCATTTTTCTTTTTTCCAGAAGCCCCACAAGTCTCCCTGTTAGGGGGGACGTGGCCGCGAGTGGCGTAGACCGTAGTGCCGTACGCTGACTCGTGATGTGTGGCACGAGCCCAGCTGGCTGAGTGTCTTGTGAGCTTGTGTGTGTGTCTGTGCTCTCTCTCCGCTCTCTCTCTCTCTCTCTCTCTCTCTCTCTCTCTCTCTCTCCTCTCCCTCCCTCCCTCCCGGCGCTCCCTCCCTTCCCAGCTCCCTGCTCCCTCCTCTCTCTCCGCTCTCTCAAGAGACAACACAAGACGACTCACAGCCCGCCTCTCTGAAAAACACACGATTTCGGGTTGTCGATATGATAGCATTGTCATCCACCCCGACCATCCGCTTCCCGACAGCGATTCCGCCCGCGTCTCGTGCTGTCAAGGGCGGCGTGCTGAAGGTGAAGCGCGCCGCGCGCGAGAAAGAGGAGCGGGGCGGTCGTGCCACAACACGAGGACCGCAGGCCGGCAACACATCAGGGGGGCGGCGGCATGGAATCACGCAGAGCGGGGCAGCAGGCGGACAGGCGGGGGGACGGGGCCGGCTAGGCCGCCTTCTCCGCCTTTTGGCGCTCCTGCTCGTCGTACTCGAGAATGAGTCGCATCGCCACGCCGAGCTGCACCGCGTTGCAGACCTGGGGCGGCAGAGTTGGCTGGTGTGGGGCGAGGGGCGAGGCGGCACTGTGTGGCGGCAGGCTGGCAGGCTTGTGAGCACGCGTGCGTGTGTGTCGCCTGCTTGAAGAGCATGATTGGCAGCGTCGCTCGCAAGACCAGGCCGGCATAGTCCGCGGCGTCGGCAAAGTGCGCCGCATACATCGCGACGTACCTTGCGGCGAGGTGTGCCCGAGACATCAGACACCGAGCCCGAGACTAGCGGGCGAGAGATCAGGCGCCCCCTCGCCACTGGTGCATCGGACGAGGAGCCCACTCTCGGGTCCTCTCGGGTCCTCTCGGGTCCTCTCGGGTCCTCTCGGGTCCTCTCGGGTCCTCTCGGGTCCTCTCGGGTCCTCTCGGGTCCTCTCGGGTCCTCTCGGGTCCTCTCGGGTCCTCTCGGGTCCTCTCGGGTCCTCTCGGGTCCTCTCGGGTCCTCTCGGGTCCTCTCGGGTCCTCTCGGGTCCTCTCGGGTCCTCTCGGGTCCTCTCGGGTCCTCTCGGGTCCTCTCGGGCAAGACGTACCAAAACTCGGTGCCGGCGCAGGCGACGAAGAGGACGGGCTTCTTGTAGTAGAAGCGGAGCAGCGCATTCTCGCACTCCTGGAGAGGAGCGGTTGGCCAACCTCGGCTCCTCTCGGCTCCTCTCGCTCTGCGAGGCGGCGTGTGTGCGCAGCGTGTGCACTGCTGCGGCATGCACTCTGCGGCGAATGCGCTGCGGCATGTGCATTGCGGCACGTTCGCTGCGGCGAGTGCGCTGCGGCGAAGTGCATTACTGCGTGTGCTCTCCTTGTGCGATCCGAGGCCGAGCTTGAGCGAGGCGTACATGTGGTACCAGTGCGAAAACATGTCGAGGGTGACGAGCGCGCAGAGCACCGCACCTGAGGGAGAAGGGGAGAGCAGCGGACAAGTACTGTGGACGTGTCTGATCGACGTGTCGTTGCGGACGTGTCGTTGCGGACGTGTCTTGCGGCCGTGTCGTTGCGGACGTGTCGGCGGGTGTCCGCAGGCGCTAGGGCGTTGGAGGAAGGGGGGGAGGAGGGGAGTGTCTGGAGAGTGTCACGCGGATCTCGGAAGTCTCTCGGAAAGTGTCTCGGAAGTGTCTCGGAAGTGGCCTCGGAAAGTGTCTGGGAAGTGTCTCGGAAGTGTCCCACGCCGAGGTGCGGGTAGAGGGAGCCAAGTATGATGCAGAGGCACGTCGTCGACGCGCGGTCCGTCACCTGGCGTAGGGACGACCAGTCAGCCCGCCAGCCGCTCAACCAGCCGGTCAGCCGGTCTTACACATGCACACACACACGGTTGGCTCCAGGAGCCGCCACCGAGGCCACCCGCTGTCACCGCTTCGGGGAGGAGGGCTGGAGGGGCCGGCGTCTGGTGGGCGGTCAGCCAGCGCGGCGTGGCTCGGCAGCGGAAGCTTCACTGAAGCTTCTCTGAGGCTTCTGCCGGGCGCGGTGGCGTCACAAGCTGCTCTGAAGCTTCTCTGAGGGTGGCGCACCATGTCCAGCACCGCGCCAAACGTGGAGGACTGGCCGAGCAGCCTCGCCGCGAGCCCATCCGCAGCGTCGAGTCCCTGGCGAGACGACCAATCGGCGGTGACGAGGCAACCGGGCGAGGCGCCCGGGCGGTGGTGAACGAAGCAGCGGCGAGCGCGGCAGCAGTGAGGAGAGGTGCGACCAAGCGACCAAGGCCGGCGGCGCGGGCAGGAAGGAGGCTGAGGACATATTGGCACCGCAGCCGGCCGCGCTACACAATGGGGAGGTTCAGGCCTGCGAGATGACATAGGTGCCGACGGTGAGCCGCCAGTCGTGCATCGCGTAGTGGTAGCCCACAAAGGTCAACACGATCCGCACGTACCCGATGACATTCGGCGCCCAGAGTAGAACCGGCCAGCTTCTTGGCATGCGGCCAGCTCCTTGCTTTGCTTTGGCCGGTTCTGTCTTCTTGTGCTCCTCGCCAGCGCCGAGGGACAGCGGGAAGAAGAAAAACTTTCCGCGCCCCTGGATGTGAGGTTAATGACCGCACTCGAAGTGCTCCAAGCTCTCGGCCGATGCCATCATCCGGCCCGCTGGGTGCGCTTCATAGCTGCTCCCCGGCCCTGGTGCCTGGATGTGAGGTGACGGTGCGGCCTCCGAGTCTTCGGCGTCTAGAGCGCGCGCGATAAGGTTTTTGCTCGCCTTCCCTGGGACCCCGTGTTGCGTGACTCTGTGCGATTTCGGGCCCGGGGTTGTGCGTTTACGTGAATGACTGCACTCCACGTCCAAAAACAGCTCCAAGTGCTCCAAGCGCTATTGCAATATCTCTCTCACAGCAGAGCCTTGACTTCGCCTGGGGTCCATGCCCGAAGCCCACCCTGTGAATGTAGAAGGTAGCCATCCATGTTTGCATAGTCGGCTCAATTATAGTCGGGATTTAAAGCTCAATTGCACGCGCGCACAAACACCCACTCATCCCGGGAGGGCAGGGAGGGACACACAAAATTCACTCACACGTTGGCGAGGGACCGCTCAGCACGATGGTAGAAGGGGCACAACGAGTCGGTCCACCAACGTTTGTGGCGGTCGGTAGAGCGGACCACAAACAAGTAACGCTCATTAGTAGAAACTTACGGGAGTTTACTTGGAGACCCCGCCCGGCGGCAATCGCAAGATCACCTCGTGCTCGTTGAGGATAGCCGCCGTAGGCCCAGCCCGTTGATCGCCGTGGACCACCTCCGGCGGTCAAGGCAACTTTATCTAGAGCCTGCTCTAGAAACCATCGCCTTGACTTCGCCTGGGGTCCATGCCCGAAGCCCACCCTGTGAATGTAGAAGGTAGCCATCCATGGTTTGCATAGTCGGCTCAATTATAGTCGGGATTTAAAGCTCAATTGCACGCGCGCACAAACACCCACTCATCCCGCTCGCGCGTGACGGCGAGCTAGAAAGAAAGGGGGACGAGTATGGTGAAGAATAGATGGCGTCTTCGTGGACTCCAGAAGGTGGAGAAGTCACGCAAAGTCCAGGAAGAGTGGGCGCTGCCGAGAAGCTATGCGAGAAGAGAAAGAGCATAGAGAAGTTTATGCGAGAAGAGAAAGAGCATAGCACAGTGGCAGGCCAGGCCAAGTAAGCTCCCGTGGGTCGGGAGGGAGGGCGCATCGTTTTGTTTTGCCATCACCAGCAACCGCCTCTGCGGGGTGGTGATGCCCGTCTCCCTAGCAGAGAATTGGGAGAGGCCGATCGCGCCTCGCCACAGCAAGGGTAGAAGCCACGAGGTTGGTTAGTCACAGGCGGCGAGCCTGTTGCGTCGCCTTGAACTATCATGGAGAAGCTCGGTCCTGAGATCCCTCGTCAGGCAGAAACCCCCGGAGTGGCGAGTAGAGGTTGGACCTCACCTCCATGGCGCCGAGATGAGAGGTGCAGAGACAGAAGGACGTGTGAAGAGAAGGTAAGAAAGGACGTGTGAAGAGAGGGGAGGAAAGACATGTTAGGAGAAAGCGTGCCTCATGCGACCGCGATGAGAACGGCGATCTTGAGCCATACTGGTTCGAATGCGGCGCCACTCGAATCGGCACTAGTGAACTCGAGCCGTACCGCATCGCGAGATCGTTGTAGCACGGTCGCCGTCCATCCGCGACCCTCATTCTCTCGACACGGATATGAGGGGTAGACCGTCGCGGGGACGAGCACCTTGGCCCCAATTGCAAACACGTTGCTATGGCTGGACCCACGTGGCGCGGGTGTCGACCGGGCGGGCGCCTCACCACGATGGTAGAAGGGGCACAACGAGTCGGTCCACCAACGTTTGTGGCGGTCGGTAGAGCGGACCACAAACAAGTAACGCTCATTAGTAGAAACTTACGGGAGTTTACTTGGAGACCCCGCCCGGCGGCAATCGCAAGATCACCTCGTGCTCGTTGAGGATAGCCGCCGTAGGCCCACGCAGCCCGTTGAGATCGCCGTGGACCACCTCCGGCGGTCAAGGCAACTTTATCTAGAGCCTGCTCTAGAAACCATCCAGGCTCGACACCTCGATGAAGATCCCTCACACCAAGATCGTGCAGGGCGGGGACACATGTCCCTAAATCCCATCTCGTCTCAGAGTTTGCCCGTTTTATTTATTTATCGACACCTCGACGGCGCGGTCCGCGGACTGGGGCACGTGCTGGTACTATCACAAGCACACCACCGGAGCCGCCTAAGCGACTCCGTTGAGAACGGCAACGCACTTAGCTCCGTGCACAATGCCGCTCTCCCAAATCTCCCCGCATTGGGCGGGCGCGGGGCGGGCGGCTGCGCGCCTGCGGGCGGGCGTCCGCCACGTCCCCGACCGGTCATCTGCTCGCTTGAGCCGTGCCTGCAGCGCCTCCTCCTCCACCAGCGACGCGCGCCTGCAGGTCGTCGCCGAGCCCGGCGAGCCGCGCAAGCTCGGTCACGCCCGCGTCGCAGTCGCCCTCGAAGAAGGCGTCTCGCGGCGGCGAGAGGAGCCGCTCGAGAGGGTCCGCGCCGGTTGGGCCCGCGCCGCCGGCGTCCGCAATGTCAAAGGACCCGACGAGCTCGCGGTTGATGAGCAGCCGCGGCACGTCGCGGGCCTGCGCCATGCACACACTAGCGTCAGGGCGTGACTACGGCACCGCGCCGCGTTTTCCGAGCATCGCGTGAATACGAGGCGAGTCCAGTGAGAGCAGCTGCAGTACAGCGGGGTACAGCCGAGGGCGTGTCGTCTCGTTCTGGAGCACAGAGATCTGGCTTCCGCATCTACGGTCGCGGGCCGGCATGTCGACGAGCGAGGCAAAGGGCTGCACCTGCAGCGACGTGCCCATGACGAGCAGCAGGTCGCACGCGTCAAAGTCGGCAGGCACGAGGCGGCCGAACCGCTCGGGAAGCTGCTCGCCGAAGAAGACGATGTCGGGCTTGACCAGCCCGCCGCTCTCCTCGTTGAGCGCCTCCACCGCCTCCTCGCCCTGCCAGAGCGCCTCCCGCAGCCTCTCGACGCCGACCGCCTGGCGGCGGCGCAGCGAGCCCCCGGGCCGAGACGCCGACCACGCGTGCGCCGCGTCAAAGTTGCCGTGGGCAGCGACGGTCAGCTCGGGCGGCACGCCCGCCGCGCTCTCCAGCGAGTCGATGTTTTGCGTGTAGCAGCGGCGCAGGATGCCGCGTGCGGCGAGCAGGGAGATGAAGTGGTGGGCGGGCGTCGGCGCGTGGTTGCCGGGCCACAGCTCCTTTGCGAGGCGGTAAAAGGGGCGCGGGTTGTCCGCGAAGAAGGTGAGGTCGAAGACGGCCTCCGGGAAGGGGAGGCCGTACGACTCGAGCTGCGAGTAGAGCCCCGTGCCGGGCGAGCGAAAGTCGGGGATGCCGGCCGAGACGCTCGCGCCCGCGCCGAGCATGACGATCACCTGTCTGGCACGGGCGAGCCGCTGCGCAAAGGCCTCGAAGGGCGAGCACGCCGAGGGAGCAGGCGGAGCGGAAGGCAGCGCCGGAGCGGGCGGCGGCACAGGCGGCACGGCCGAGCCGACGCGCGAGTCTGGCCCGCCCACCTGGCGAATGCAAACACACAGTCAGGGTGGGGGCACGGTCTCGTGCGGTCTCTCGTGCGGTCTTGTCCTCATCTGGGGCCGAGCGAGTGCAAGGGACAGATCTGCGGAATGCAAGCACCTCTCCTCCGCATCTAGGACCGCATCTACGGCCGCATCTACGGCCGCATCTAGCACCGCATCTAGCACCGCATCTAGCACCGCATCTAGCACCGCATACGCCCGCATCTACGCCCGCAACCCAGGACTCCCCCGACGGGTCTCGCAGGCCAAGGACAAAGGCACGCCGCAGCGCGCAGCAGTCCTCGAGCAGGCGCGCGTACGCCACCGCCTCGGCCTTGGCCGCCGCCGGAAGCGCATCCGGCAGGTTGTGCCTCAAATCCCGCGCGGCGGCGCTGAGCCAGCCTGCAACCTGCAGGGGCAGAGTGCGCGGGCATCACGGAAGTGGAACACGGTGCGCGCGGTGGCCGCCGCGCCGCCCGTCTTCACCGAGCGAGTCGTGTCGTGCCGCGAAGGGCGTGCCACGTCATGCTCCTCGTTGGCACCAAAGGCGTCCGCTCCACAGTCCTCGGCGAGGGGCTCGCGAGGGATGAGGAAGATGGAGCCGTCTCGCCCCTTGTGCACGACGCTATAGGATGAGCAGGATCGCTTCTCAGTCACTCGAAACTATCAAGTGGAGAGGGCGCCCACGGCCGCACCGCGTCAGCCCGCGCATGTCGTTAACCGCCACCTCAATGCGCCGCCGGCCAACGGGCGGCTGAGCTGCTGAAGCACTCGAGGATGACGCTTCAGCAGCTTCACCATCCTCGAGTGCAGCCGCTGCCGTCGCCACTGCGGCCTCGTCGGCATCAGTGAGTGTCGCCCGCTCGAAGCACGTGGCCAGCTCATCTTCCGACATCGTTTCAGAGATAGTAGCACGAAGGTCTTCGGTCCCTGGGGCCGGCAGACGACCCTCTCGGCCGCAGTGCTGCGGTTTTCTTTTTATCAATAAGCGTCAATCCTCGTTTACTTCTCGGGGTACACACTGGACGCGGGACCATCCACATCATCACCGGCTCGCGGCAATACGGGCACTCTTGCATCAGCTCAGAGCATGGCATGCAAGCGCACAGGTGCCCGCACGGGACCGCAGCATGCGACTTGACTCTCGCGAAACACACGATGCACGTGGTCTCTCCCCCCATGGTGGACTCGGGGGAGCTGGCCGCCCCGTGTCGAGGCCTGCGTCCGCTAGTGAGACGGCTGCAAACGGCTCAGTGACTGGCAGATGCTGCTCCGCCGCCTCGGCTGCCTCTGGCCCGATCAAGCGCTCGATGGCGCCGACCCGCTCCTCGAGGTTACCCTCGATCGCCGCGCCCAAGCTGGCCTCCAGCTGCTCGACACGCCGCATCAGGTCCCCGCCGCCGGTCGACTCGCTGCTCACCGCCTCCTCGCACCGCGACACCCGACGCGCCAGAGCCTCCTCCTCCGCATCTATCTCTGACAAGCGCAGCGCCTCTGCTAGCTCCGCAGCCTCGCGCAGCGCCGCCTGCTCCGCCGCACCCGCTAGCTCTGCCGCCTCGCGCTCCGCCCGCCTCGCAGCTTCTTGCTCAGCAGCCAGCCGCGCCGCCCTCTCCTCCTGTGCGCGAACCTCTGCCGCAGCCTTCGCCCTCCGCTCCTCCTCGAGCTTGAAGGCAAGCGGCGCCTTCTTGGCCTCCTTGTTCTTCTCCTTGGCTTCCTTCTTGGCTGCAGTTGCCTCCGCCGCCTTTGCGCGCCGCCTCGCCTTCTCCTCCTCCGCCCTCCTGTTGGCAGCCTCCTTCTCGCGCCGCTCCGCCTCTGCCTGAATAGCCTTGCGCTCTGCCGCCGCTGCCCGCTGCTCCGCAAGCTGTGCCTCCTTTGCTGCTCGTCTCTCCGCTTCCCTCGCCCGCAGCGTCTCCTCTGCTGCCGCGCGCTGGGCAGCCAGCTTCGCCTCCGCCTCCGCCGCAATCGCTCGCCTCTGCTCCTCGAGCGCCGCCGCGTCCGCCGCCCGGCGCGCCTCGCGCGCCTCTCGCTCTGCTTCGCGCCGGCGCGCAGCCTGCTCGCGCTCTCGTGCCGCCGCCGTCTCCTCCCGCTCGCGCTGCTCGCGCCGCCCCTTGGCCTCGAGCGCCTTCTCTGCCGCCTCCATCTCCCTCATTGCCGCTGCGTGCTCCGTGAGAGCGCGCACACACCCGGCGTGGTCCTTTGCAGGAGCACTGGCGTCGGCAGTAGCCAGCTTGGCCGCGTCCCTGGCGTATTGCAGCGCGGACTTGCCGACCGCAGAAAGAACCTTTGTGCCTGCGCCCGCCTGCAGTAGACGGCGCACGGCAGGGAGGCGGCCTTCGCCGGCAGCGTTCATCAGCGCGGTCTCGCCGTTGTTGTCCTGCGCGTTGATCTCCGCGCCGTGCCGAAGCAGCAAGTTGACCACCCGCTCGTGGCCGTTGGTGGCGGCAAAAATCAGCGCGGTGCCACCGTTGTTATCCCGCATCTCTGCATCAGCGCTGCACTGCAGCAGCAAGTCGACCACCCGTTCGTGGCCATCGACGGCGGCGTTCATCAGCGCGGTGTCGCCGTCGTTGTCCTGCGCGTTGATCTCCGCGCCGTGCCGAAGCAGCAAGTCGACCACCTGCTCGTTGCCGTTGGTGGCGGCAAAAATCAGCTCGGTGCGGTCGTCGCTGTTCTGCTTGTTGATCTCCGCGCCGTGCTGCAGCAGCAGCTCGACCACCCGCTCGTGGCCTGGGCGGCGTGCATCAGCGCGGTGAAGCCGTCGCTGTCCTGCAGCTCGATCTCCGCGCCGCCCCGCAGCAGAAGGTCGACCACCCGTTCGTGGCCTTCGGTGGCAGCGCGCATCAGCGCGGTGTAGCCTTTGCTGTTCTGCAAATGGCCTCCGCGTCGTGCCGTAGCAGCAAGTCGGCCACCCGCTCGCGGCCTTTGCCAGCGGCCCACATCAGCGCGGTACCGCCGTCGTTGTCCTGCATGTTGATCTCCGCGCTGTGCTGCAGCAGCAGCTCGACCACCCGCTCGTGGCCCTCCTGGGCGGCGCCCATCAGCGCGGTCCAGCCGTCGCTGTCCTGCAGGTTGATCTCCGCACCGTGCTGCAGCAGCACCTCGATCACCCGCTCGTGGCCGAAGCCGGCGGCGTCCGTCAGCAGCGGTATGCCAGTAGTCGCCCCGCCATCCTCGTTCCGACGCTCGCGGGTGGCGTTCGCTCGCCCGCCACCCTCAAGCCACACACGCACCGCCACTTCGTCGCCTCGTAAGTCCGCCCCTAAAAAGTAAGCCGTTTGGCGTGTCTTGCCCAGCCCGTGACGGACCATTTTTCTTTTTTGTCGATAAATTTTTTGCTTTGATGCCTATGCGTGCACTCGTCCCTCTCTGTATGTGTGGGTTCGCGTGTCTCTGATGATAAATAAAACGGGCACGCCAAACGAGGGGTGGGAGAAGGACAGGGTCCCCACCTGCACGAGCAGGATCTTGTAAGGACGATCAGAGACACAGGGGAACGCTAGAATAAATAAATAAATACAACGTACACGCCAAACGAGGGGTGGGAGAAGGACAGGGTCCCCACCTGCACGAGCAGGATCTTGTAAGGACGATCAGGGACACAGGGGAACGGGAGCGGGGAGCGCATCGCGACACGGAGGGGGGCTGCGCTAGACAGTGTGTGGTAACCCGCGCCTTATTTCTTTCCCTCGCGATGTCTTCCCCGTTGTGCCGCCGCCGCCGCCTCGCCGCCATCGCCTCCGACGCGCCCTCGCCGAGCACGCCGCCGCCCACCCGCCTCCTCGACCTCCCCACGGACCTCCTCTTGCGCGCCCTCTCTCGCTGCGGCCCCGCCGACATCGCTCGCGTCGCGGCCGTCTCGCTGCTCTTCCACGCCTCGCTTGCGGTGGAGGGCATCCGCTTGTGGGCGCAAGAGCGCGGCTTCGAGCTGCCGGCGCTGCCAGAGGGCGAGGGCTGCGCCGTGCGGTGGCTGTGCTACTCGGCGCTGCTGTGCGAGTCCAACCCGCCGGCGAGGGCGGCGGCGGGCGAACGGCACAGCCTCTTCATCGTCGGCGAGGGGCGGCTCTCGTCGTGCGGCAATGCGCCGGCCTGGGGCCCAGGCCTGCTCGGCCACGGCGAGGGCGTGACGCGGCTCAACACGCCGACCCGCCTCCCCTCTCCGCTGGGCGGCGAGCACGCCGTGAGTGTGGCGGCTGGACACTACCACAGCCTCGCCCTTGCCGCCGGCGGCAGCGTCTGGAGCTGGGGCCAGGGAGGCGACGGCCCGCTGGGCCACGGCGACGAGCAGAACCAGTGGCAGCCGAAGAAGATCGAGGCGTTGGCTGGCCAGCGCGTCGTCGCTGTGTCGGCGGGAGGCCACAGCCTCGCCCTCGCCGACGGCGGCAGTGTCTGGAGCTGGGGCTATGGAGCCTGCGGCAAGCTGGGCCACGGCGACACGCAGAACCAGCTGCTGCCGAAGAAGGTCGAGGCCTTGGCTGGCCAGCGCGTCCTCGCTGTGTCGGCTGGGGCTATCCACAGCCTCGCCCTCACCGCCGACGGCGCCGTGTGGAGCTGGGGCTATGGATTGATAGGCCAGTTGGGCCACGGCGACACGCAGCGCCAGCTGCTGCCGAAGAAGGTCGAGGCCTTTGCTGGCCAGTGCGTCGTCGCTATGTCGGCTGGGCCTATCCACAGCCTCGCCCTCACCGCCGACGGCGCCGTGTGGAGCTGGGGCCCTGGAGGGCAAGGCCAGTTGGGCCACGGCGACGGGCAGGACCAGCTGCTGCCGAAGAAGATCGAGGCCTTGACTGGCCGGCGCGTCGTCGCTGTGTCTGCTGGAGGCCACCACAGCCTCGCCCTCACCGCCGACGGCAGCGTCTGGAGCTGGGGCCAGGGAGGCTCTGGCAAGCTGGGCCACGGCGACCGGCAGCGCCAGCTGCTGCCCAAGAAGGTCCAGGCCTTTGCTGGCCAGCGCGTCGTCGCTGTGTCGGGTGGAACCGCGCACAACCTCGCCCGCACCGCCGACGGCGCTGTTTTCACGTGGGGCAAGGGCGAGTACGGCTGCCTCGGCCACGGAGAGGACCTGTCGAACCAGTTGCTGCCCAAGAAGGTCGAGGCGTGGGCGCCGGGGCAGTGATGAGAAGGGCGAAAGGGTGCGAGGCTCTGTGTTGCCGCGTCGCCCACGCGCCTCTTCGCCACCCGCGAACGTATCCGCGAGGATGGTGAGAGGCGAAGTCGAGTCTCGAGACGGAAGAGCATAACTTACGATCGGGGCGCCTGGCACCTCTAGTCCTGTCAAGGCCGCGGGCTGCGATGTGGGGTGTTTATGAGGAGATTGAGCAGCCCGAGGGAGGAGTCACGTTTGCTGGCCAGTTCAGCTTCGGTGGCATAATGTGCTGAAAGGTCTCGCCGGTATCGACGAGCTTTCCTTACTGATGTGCGGAAGGTGCGAGGAGCAAGAAATGAGCGAACGCAGCTGAACAGCACCGAGATAAGCCTGCAGCCGTGGGTCGAGGACGCTCTCGTGCAGCTGCACGCGCGAAAAAACGTGCCGGTGAACTCAAAGTTCACTCCGTGGACACTCGAGGAGGACCGCCTACTGCTGAACTCGTACCAGAGCGGCGCGAAGATCAACGAGATCCGCGTCGGTGCACGGTGCCCGCAGCTACAAGTCCATCGAATGCCAGCTACGCCGACTTCAGAACGTCACGCCACTGGTACGCGACGCGCACTACAAGAGCGTCTGCGACCCAGAGGCGCCGTTTCAGTACCTGCAGCACGACATCTGGACGCCGATCGACTCGACCCTCGCTCTACCGCCGTGCGCGCAGATCGACTGGATTCGCGGCGTCGCAAAGGTGCCTCCCTTACCCTGTTCGCGCATCTCTGCGGGCGGGAGGCGGAGCACGGTGGTGGTGAACGGGAAGGTGTAGCTGCCGATCTTGGCGGCGGTTGGCACGGTGACAAAGGTGACCTGTGTCGAGCCTGTCTGCTGTGACAGAGTTGGTGTGTTTAAATTCTTCTTCGAAAGAAAGAAAGAAAAGAAAACAGACAGCCCAAGGGAGGGATGGGATGGAGATGATGGATGATGAGGACGGCACGCCGCCACCACACAGGGATTTTAAGGAGAGGTGTGTGGTGCGCTAGCCGTCGCCCACCCTAACCCTAGGGAGTCTGCCTCTTCCTATCTCTCTTCGCAGTCTCTCGCCGCTTCTCGCTGCAACCTTCATGCCACCTCGCGGTCGTCCCACTCTCGTCGTTCTCTCCCTTGTCACTTCCTCCTCTGTCGCGTCGTTCTCTTCTGCCTCGTCCTGCGACGCCGCCGCCTGCCGGAGCGGTCCCTTGTTCTCGCGGCTTCTTTCGCCTTTCGGCGCAACTCCGTCCTCCTCGCGGCGTATCCTTGGGGGAGAGACTGCCGCCGCCGCCCACCGGTGCGGCCCGCCCGCAGAGCGCCCAGTTGAGCAGCGCTCCCTGCCCAAAAGGTTTCCCTCCCCCGATGGCGGAGTAGAGCCGACGTACCGAGGAGGCAGGCGCCCGCAGCCCAAGCGCGGAGAGCTGGGAGGCAAAGGCGTGCAGGCTAACATGGCCACCGTCGGCAGCCTTGAAGAGTTCGCCCAGCACCTGGTGTGGGCTCTCGAGGAGGCGCGCCCGAAGCCACCGGAAGCAGGCGGGCGAGGCCTGCGGCGAGGCCTGGCGCTGCTCGGATCGCCCTTTCACCGGAGACGACCCCCTGCTCCGGGGTGGCGGACTCCCCCTCCCAGCCGGAGCAGCGGGCGGGGCAGCCAGCCTCCACCGCTGGGGCGAGAGAGCTTTGGATGGGGACAGCGAGCTCCACCAGCGGCCGGGCCGCCTCGTCGCCGGAGATTGCACCTCCTCCGAGTCCGGCTCCAGCGGCGAAGGTGCACTCGCAGGGCTCCAGGCGGCAACCCCTTGGGGAGAGGCGGGTGATGGGGCCGGCGAGAGCGACTGGCCGCCGATGTGGATGCTGAGTGGCTTGCAGCGCTGCGGTGAGGACTGCTGCTTCTGAGGTGAGCCGCGACCCCACCGCGGGACGGGAGACAGCCTCTCTGCGGACCGCCAGCTCGGGCTCAGGCTGCTGAAGAGCGAAGGCGGCCTCCAGCTGTGGTGCGGCTTGAGCGGCGAGGGAGGTCGACGAGGCGGTGGGTGGCTCGCTCGTGCCGACGATGGCTGCATGCGCTGCAGGCCAGCTTTTGGCAACGGCTTGATTCGTAGGCGCGCACGGTATGCGTGGCAGGTATGCGCAGCGCGCTGCCGCCGCGGATGCTCGAGCGCGGATGACGGTGGATGACGGTGAAGGTGGAGGCAACGTTTTTCATAGCCGTTACGTAAATAACGTTACAAAATAAGGCTTGTATCGTTGTACTTTTACGAGTATAGAGAAAACCGAAAACCCTCGTGCCAGATTACCGTGCCCCTTGCACGCCGGGCACGGCCTTTCGGTTCGTGAAGGGTCGGTGCGAGTCGTGACCCCCTGGAACAACCGACCGTAACTCTCCCGCACCATCTCCGTTGCTCGGTTTTACAACCTTGCCACCACCGGGAGGCGGCCAGGGATCACAGACTTGATCGAAAGATCCCATCCCGGGCTGGATACGACTTGTCGATCCAACTCCCAGGCTCTGGACAGGGTGGCCCGCCACAAGGACCCCAGGAATTGCGACTCGCCGCTTTCCTCCCACTGTGAATTTGCGTGAGCTCTGTGTCCTGATTTGCCAACAACAAACCTAAAACCATCCGAGGGATCTACACCCATGAGAACTGTGTTCCAGACTGTGTTCACGCCGCTGAAACATACCCCTCGTGGACCGGCGTTTCAGCAGCCGCCAGCGGCCGGAAGCGCGCTTTCCGATGGACACCGTCTTTAGCCCTGCACAGCGCGACGAGAAGCTACTCGCCCCGCCGGGTGAGCCACTGCCGGAGCAACCACACACCGGTGGCACCCTGCAGCGTAGCACCAAACTGTGCGGTTTCCTGGGCACCTTTGGGTTCGCCCTGGTCTGGATTCCGTGCCTGCTTCCGCCGCTTCTGGTTGCCTTTGTCGGGCTCCTGCTTCGTACGTGCGGCTGCTGTGGCGCCACGCTGCTGAATCGAACGACGATACTGGTCTTTGCCGCCTGCTGCCGGATCGCCCTCTGGCTCAGTGTTTGGATTCGCGTCGAGGAGAGGGGGTTCGGTGTCGTGGGGGAGAGGATGGGCAGGTCGGGTCGGCCGTGCCTGGTGATTGCGAACCACACCTCGTTCTTTGACATTCTGCTGCTGGTCGCGCTGCTACCCTTCTCAAAGGTGCAGCGCGTCAAGATGCTCATCTCGTACCGGCTCTTTGCTCTCCCGCTGCTTGGGCAGCTGAACCGCGCTATGGGCCACCTGGCCGTGCGGAACTCGCGCAAGACGGACGACGACGCCACGCGAGCGATGTTTGCCGAGTCCACAGGCAAGGCTTTGGCGGAGTTTGAAGAGTACGTGCGAGGTGGCGGCACCGGCGGATGGTTTCCGGAGGGGGATGTGAACGCGGGCAACACGCATGCTGTCGGGCTGTTCAAAAAGGGCGGGTTCGCCCCCGCGGTGAAGATCGACGTCGAGCTGTGGTGCGTCTCGTTCTGCGGGAATGCAGTCACGTGGCACGCAAAGGGCCTGCCTGGCAGGCCCGCCCGGGTAGGCGCCTCCATCGCCTGCCTCTGTGATAGCACGCATGCACTCCTTCGCGACGAGGGCCTTTCGGTGAACAGCGACGTTGATGCATGCCTGCTATTACTGGCAAACCAAGCGCGCGCAAAGGTTCAGGACGGCGTCAGCACCTTTGTGTCGGAAGGCTTCGTGGGGCATGATCCGGATGCTCCCAACTTGTGGGGGGGGCATTTGTAGGGTAAAGCCGCGAGGATTTTACAACCGCAAGAAAATATCGCCCGCCGAAGAGCGTATTAAAGAGGCCTATCATGTTTCAATGGACCCTCCCCCGCCCCGAGATCTGTGTATTCACAGACCTTGAGAGAGGGAGAAGAGAGTACCTCCAAAGTCCAATGGCTAGCTCCCTTCAGCCCTTCACTTGCGCGCAAGAGCATGAGGATGAGCGGCAAACGTTTTTTTTTCGCGCCCATTTTGGCATGGACCCGGCGGCGTGCCTCCAGCTGCTGACCCAGCGCGCGTGCCGCCCCTTTGCAAGCGCAAAGGAGGACTCGCTTCTGCGCGTTCCGCCCGACGCCGCTCCGCCGGCGCCGCAGCTGTCGCTCGACGAGGCGGCCAGCGCCGGCGAGCTGGTGCGGTTGGTGCTGCAGCAGCAGGAGCGGCGGGTGCTCGAGTACCGCCGCTTCGAGGAGGGCTTTGCGCGCTTCCTCGCTGCGCCCGACGCCGAGGGCTACCCCGCCCTCGTCGCCGACGCGACTGCCGCCTTTGCGACCATTTCGGCCTGCGTGCGGGAGGCGGCGGCGAGGCTGGCGGCGACAATGGCGGCGGGCGACAATGGCGGCGGCTCGGGTGGTGACGGCGGCTCGGGCAGCGGCGGCAGCGGCGGCGGCGGCGGCGGCGGCGGCGGCGGCGGCGGCGGCGGCGGCGGCGGCGGCGGCGGCGGCGGCGGCGGCGGCGGCGGCGGCGAAGCCCTCGCTGCAATTGTGCTGCGGCTGCAGCAGCTCGAGAAGGAGAAGCTGTCGCTCACTGCGCAGCTGCAGATCACGAGGCATGGCATCGAGGCGCGGGCGGCCGGAGGTCCTCCCAGATCCACCGAGATCCACCGAGATCAGCGCTCGGCCGCCGTCAGGTGGACCGCCTGCGGGCGAGAGAGGCGGCCATCGACGCGGATGCAGTCGCGGACGCGATCTTGGACGAGGGCGGCGAACCATTCGGCGACTGCGGCGCTGCTGCTGCGGCTAGCCGCGTGGCGGCGCTGCGGCGCGAGGCGCGGACGCCACCTCCCGGGCGTGCGAGCGGGCGGGCGCGTCCTTGACACGTCCCGGGTGTCGGCGGGCCTCGCTGTAGGAGCGAGTCGAGCTGAGCGGCAAGCTCGCCGCGCTGATGGAGGAAATCAACGAGGCGATCGACGAGCTGCGGTGCGAGCTGGCCGAGCTCGAGGGCGAGAGCGAGGGCGCAGAGGCGTGAGGTGCCGCAAGCCGGTCTCGCGCATACGGTGCGCCGGCTCTGTGTCTGTCCGCACGACACGTGTGCGCACAAGTTGTGGGTCGTCCGCACCAGTCATTCCGAACTACGGGTCCTGGCCCCCGGCCAGCTAGGAGCGCTAGGGGTAAAGGCTTCATGAAGCTTACATGTGATAGGGGACCGCAGGTTTGCGTCTGAGAGATGCAGGTGCGTCTCCCCTTCATGTTGCGGGTCGTCCGGTGGTCTCTCGCCGCGCGGGTGCGCGCTGCTCGAGTGCTCGTGCGCCGGCGCGGGGCCGGCGGGGCCGGGGGCCGGGGCCGGGCGCGCGCCCGCCCGGCAGGAGCGGCGCGCCACGAGGCGCGGGGGTGGGTGTCCGCGATCGCGCGCGTACCTCTTTGTTTTGCGTGTGTCACACCGGTGTCCGCGGGGTGCGTGTGCGTGTCTCGTACTACGACAAACTGCTGGCGGGGCTAGTTCGGCTAGGGCCTCACGGCCCTGCCTCCTCGAGAGAAACACACACAAATCGTCCCCACGATGCTCTCAACCATACTTTCTACATTCTAGAGTACCATCGCTCTCCCTCCCCCCTACCTGCTGCTCTGCGCCTGCTCGAGCAGCTTGACGGACGCGGGGTCCGTCGGGTCGTGCGTCGTCAGCGTGGCGCAAAAGAGCTGCCCGCGGCCGGGCGCCGAGGCCGTGATGTTCGTCAGCGTGGTCTTGAAGCCGGGCGGCGCGTAGAAGGGCGGCGTGAGGTGCATCCGCACCGAAAAGTTGAGCGGCCGCGGCCATGGCCCCGCGCCCTCCTCCATCAGCGGGCAGGCGAGCCCCGAGTAGTGGAGCTTGCCAAGATACATCCGCCCCAGGTGCAGCACGCCCCGCGACGGCGTGCAGACGCTGCCCTCGAGCGTCATCAGCTGCAGCTCCTGTGACCAGGTCGTCGCGTTGACTATCACCGCCTCGGCGGGCAGCGGCTCGGAGACGGAGACGGAGACGGGGACGAAGCTGCTCTCGCCGACGACGACGCTGCTCGCACCCACCCACGCGACGCGTCCCACCGCCTCCGGCCCGCCGCAGTCGTGCCACGAGAGCGAAAGGCGGGTGCCGATCACGATCGACCTGTCGGGCACGGCCGCGCGGCCGAGGAGGCCGCAGGCGCCGAGCGCGAGCGCCGCGGCGGCGGCGAGGCGGAGGCGCGAGAAATTCGCCGCCTTGCGCTCGTGCGATGGGCAGGCGACAGTGATCATGAGGCTAGCCCAGGCGGCAGTGATGAGGCTAGCTAGGTGGCAAGGATGTCGTTCGGAGGTTCTTTTCTTTTTTCGGGTTTGACTTCGGCGACTCGGAACTGCGTCGCGGCTGCAGAGAGAGAGAGAGAGAGAGAGAGAGAGAGAGAGAGAGAGAGAGAGAGAGAGAGAGAGAGAGAGAGAGAGAGAGAGAGAGAGAGAGAGAGAGAGAGAGAGAGAGAGAGAGAGATACACACGCCATGAAGTACAGCGATCGCCACCTCGCTGGCCTCTCCGCAGGCCCCCCCGACCGCGTCGAACTCATCGGCGCGGGCTCTCTCGGCTACGCCTACGGGACCGGCCCCAGCTTCGGCTGAGGGCTGAGAAGCTGCCGAGCCCAAATCACTGTGAGAGTCGTGATTTCTTGTTGGTTAATAAAAATCTCTCTCTCTCAGAAAGAAACAAAAGACGCCCGAACAGCCGTCTCAGTTCACGCCGGAATCGTGAACCGTGAACCGTGAACCAACTAGCCCCCGCCCCGAGTCCGTGAACCCCGAACCGTGAACCGACTAGCCCCCACCCCAAGTCCGTGAACCGTGATCCGTGAACCGACTCCTCCCGCGACACCCGCCGCGAACCGTGAACCGTGAACGGACCGAGTCTGGCGAACCGGCGCTGGTTCGAGTTTCTGGGTCTCGGTTCACGGATGGTTCGCGAACTGTGGTTCGCGAACTGTGCAAAACAACCACCGGCGGCCCCACGACGGCGTCCTCGCCGCCTGGGCGGACGCAATGCGCGCCCCAGCCAACGCGCCGGGGTCGTGCACGGTGACAAGGAGAAACCAGAGCTCACCCGCCACCCGGCAGTACAACGAGGGGTACAAGGTCGACCTCGCGGAACCCCACGCTGGCCCGGGAGGATGCGATGAGGTGAATGAAGTCAAGCGGGCAGCCCGGCCAACCCTTCGACCACAAGAACGGCCACGGCTACGTCAAGGCGCATCGCGGTTTCTACCACGACGTGATCTTTGTCAAGGTAGCGCAACAACTTCAACCTGCTGCTCCACGAGACGTTCGGCGGCGGCTTCTCGCCCACCGCCGTTCTCAAGCTGCGCCGCCTCGCGCGCAAAGTCGCGCGCGGCAGCGTCGACCGCACGGCCTACTCGCCCAAGTACTCGCTCTCTTTTACCATGTCCCACCATGCAGAGCGCATCTCTCTCTCTGTTGTGCGAGGCGTGAACCGCGCCATTCGCTCTCACCTGGCAACCCTGTCTGCACGTCTCGCGCGCGCGTGAAGGCCCCAAATGACGAATGACGTGTGAGTGTTAGAGTTGTTTGGTATTGCTAAAAATCTCTCGAACTGTGTCGGTGTGTAAGAGGTGTGAAAATAAGCTTGGTTCACGAACTAGTTCAGTGGTTCACCCTCGAACCGGACCGTGAACTCTGAACCGTGAACCCGAACCGAGGCAGGACAAAAGGGCGAACCGCGAACCGTGTCCGTGAACGAACCAGGCGGGGCAGCGTCGGGCCGAACCGTGAACCGTGAACCGACTAGCCCCCGCCCCGAGTCCGTGAACCGCGAACCGTGAACTAACCGTGAACCGCCGCGAACTGGTTCATGAACCGGGTTCACGGTTCACCTCGTGAACTGAGAGGGCTGCGCCCGAAGGGAGGGATGGGAGGAAAAGAAAGAAATAAACCAGACAACCAAGGGAGGGATGGGAGGACGGCACGCCGCCACCACACAGGGATTTTAAGAAGAGGGGTGTGGTGCGGGATGGGAAAGAAAGAAAGAAAGAAAACAGACACGCCAAACGAGGGATGGGACGAGGACAGGGTCCCCACCTGCACGAGCAGGATTTTGGAAGGACGATCAGGGGGACAGGTGGGGCTCTCCTGCTCCTGACAAGGGACACGACAGGCTCGCAGCGCGGTGCGCGGTGGACTCCCACATCCACTGGGTCTCATCTCAGTCTATCTAGCGACCTGCCTCCAGCTTGTCGCTGGCAGTCTCTCGCACATGCACACTGACACAGGGGTGGCAGGGGCGGCGGCACGAGTCTCCCACATACTGGTGCGGGATGGGAGGACGGCGCGACGTCGCGAGCTATTTCTTCTGAGGCTTCTGGTAAAATTCTCTGAGGCGCCCACGGGTCGCCCACGGGTCGCCCACGGGTCGCCCCCACGGGTCGCCCACCGTCGTCCCGCCCGTCGTTCAACGCTCTCTCTCCTGTCGCGCCATCCTCTGCCTCATCGCTCTCCAACTCGGGTGACCGCTCTCTTCGTAGCCGCTCATGGCGGCCTCGAGCAGCGACGCCGACCCACCTAAGCGCTACCTCGCCCTGTGGAAGGAGTACCTCACGCTCTGCAGCTTTGCCGACGCCGCGGGCGGCGCCAGGAGTCGGTCGACCCTGCACCACCTCTCTCTTCCTCCGGGACTGCACACCGTCGGCCGGCTCGACCGCGACTCGGAGGGCCTGCTGCTGCTGACCGACGACGGGGCCTTTTGCCACGCGGTGCTGCAGGGCGGCGTGCGCAAGCGCTATCTCGCGCTCGTGTTCGGCCGCCCCACCGACGAGTCGCTGGCTGCGATGGCGGCGGGCGGGCTGAATATCCGCGGCAGGCTGACGCGCCCGTGTGCCGTGCGGCGCATCGACGCGGCGAGCGCGGCGACGGCGGCCGGCGCCCCGCCCGACCCACGGCTGGCCGGCGCTCGCGCCGGCGGTCCGGTGACGTGGCTCGAGGTGACGCTCGGACTGAGGGGAGATCAGCCGAGATGACCCGAGATTGACCGAGCTTAGCCGAGATTTAGGTGACGCTCTCCGAGGGGATGAACCGGCAGGTGCGGCGGATGACGCAGAGCGCGGGACACAAGACGTTGCGCCTGGTCCGCGTGGGCGTCGGGAGGCTCAACGCCGAGGCGCTCGCCGCCGAGATGTAGCCGAGATCTGGCCGAGATCCGGCCGAGATCCGGCCGAATCTGGCGTCAGCCTAGAGCAGCTCCGACCGTTGCTCGCCACTCCGCCCCTTCACCGCTCGCAGGACCTCGCGCTGCGGCCTGGCGAGTGGCGGTACGTGGCGCGTGACGCGGTGCTGGGCGATCGGCCGCCGGCCACAACCATGGAGGCCGCCTCAGGAGGCTGTTTCGCGCGCACAACAGACGGGGAGAAGTCGCTGTGTCAACACGAACACACGCCCGTACGGCTTTAGAGCTGTGCACCACACCTTCCCACCCGAGACTCGGAGAGGGCCGAGACCACCGTCCTCCGCCCCCCGCCGCCCCAGAGGCGTGATCGCCAGCGTGACTGTACAGAGGCGCGATCGTCGATGTAGTTGCTTTTTTGAGCTTAGCGCGATCGACGGCGACGGCCGACGGCGTGGTTGCAAAATCTTTTTGTGTACTTCGTACAACAGTCAGACACACACATGCGCTTTTTGCGACACACGAGTGCCGGCATGTCCGCTCCTCCGTCCTCAGCTCGACGCCCCTCCCTCCTGGTCGTAGTAGAGGGCGAGCATCTCCTCCGCGGCCTCCAGCGCCTCGGCAGCCTGCTTGTCGAGCTCGTCCGCCGCCTCCGCCGCCTCCACAGCGCTCGCGAGCTGCGCGCCCGCATCGAGCGACGCGGCCTGCGCTGCGGACGAGCTGGCGAGCATGGAGAGGCTGAACTTTTGTGAGCCGCCGATGTCTTCCGCCGCGCTGTCCGAGCGGTCAGCGGCGGATTCCGCCGCAGTCTCGGCTGCCTCCGCCAGCCTGTCCGCCTCCTCCCGCGCCGTCAGTGCCTGCGCCGCAAGCGCCTCCGCCCTCTCGACTGCCGCCTCCGCTTCCTCGGGCGCTACGCTGCCAGTAAGAGCCACGAGTGGTGCGTATCGCGGCGCGTGGAGCAGTGGAGGCGGGTGCCGTGCCACGAGCGAGGTGCAGTTGAGCAAGGCCAAAGCATGTGCGGCCATGAGAGCTTTTTTTATTTTCTTTCTTCCGCTATTCCAGTAACTCATGCGGCACCGGCTCTACTAGCGAGGCGAATGACATATTCGACACCCTCGACGACCATCTCGGCTACGGTTCCGACTCCGGCTTCGGCTGGTAGTCGACAAGCTGCCGATCGATCGCCAGTTGAGGGCTGAGGGATAGACGGAATTGTGAGGCTCACGGAAAAGAAAAATACGGCGACTTCACATACCTCCGCATCAGCTACGACGACATTGCACAAACCGTGGCGTACATCGACCAAGCCTGCGCCGACGCCGATACGGCGGTGCTCAGGCTGCTTCTTTCTCCCAGGCCCAGATCGTGCACACTCTCTTGCTAGACAAGTTTACGTTTTCTTTGGCGGCGCAGCCTTCGGCTACCTTCACAGCCTTGTTATTGAGAAGAAAACAAGAAGAAAAGAAAGACCGGCGTGTGCCGCAGCCTTCTGCTCTATCTCGCTGAAGCACGCGACGATGGCGCGTGGTCAGGGCAAGAGCGGTGGTGGCGCGCGGCCGCTCATCGTGGTGATTTCTCTTTTGCCGAAGTGACAAACTTTGTGAACAGGGCTCCAGGCCCCAAATGACGTGTGAGTGTTAGAGTTGTTTGGTATTGCTAAAAATCTCTCTCTCTCTCTCCGAAGTGATCTGTCATCTGTAAGGGTCCGCCCGCAGGCGCATTTTGTATACCGAGGCGGTGCCCGGTGCCGAGCGCAGGCAGAGCCCACACACAGGTCGGACCTTGAGACAGCGTTGTAAATCTCTGGGCGAGGGTGGTGGAGGGGGGGGTCCGGCGGCGGAGCAACCACCTCCTCTCGGCGTGCCGGGAGGCAGGATGTCATCCCCCGTGATCCAGACCGCCCCGTTGGAGGTAGACCGCTCGTCTCGGCGGCCGCAACTCCGCCGCCGTCGCTCCGCCGGCTCTGACCGAGTATCGGGCGTTGAGGGCGGCGGCGCAAAGCGGGTCTGGTGCGCCACACGGCCACCACCCTTGCCGCCGCCCTTGCCGCCGCCCTTGCCACCCTTTGCCGCCTTGCCTCCGCCGCGGGCGGCGGTGGGAGCGGCCTGCTGGGCTAGCCTGTTGTCCGTAGCTGTGGACGGGCACGTGGAACGCACGTTACATGTTCGAACGGCCTCCGGGATTCAAACAAAAATAGCCGGGGCCCTCTCGCAACCCCTCCGACCCCCCGGGACCCGTGGGCGTCGAAGAGGCGCTCTCGGGGGGCCGTCCGTTCTGAGTTCATGCTACCACGAAGCACACTGATCACTGTGCTGCGTCGAAGCACCGGGCCCGAGTCCGTAGGATTGCGAGCGTGGGTGCTCACAGTCGCACAGAGATGCTACGATTGCGAGGAGTGCTGCTCACAATCCTTCGACTTCTAGGATTGAGAGCGAGGCTGCTCTCAATCAAGCGGTCTACAAAAGAATTCTTAAGATACAAGCCTCTCTCACAGCACACTGGCACGACAAGGGCGCGGACTGGCGCGGACTGGCACACACACAGGCTCACCACCGGAAAAGAAAATCCAGAGCAACTGCACCAGGCGCCGACGACAGGACGTGTGAGGGTTGAGCGCAACACCTCCCCTCTGACCCTCTGCGCGCACTTCCTCGTCGTCAAGCGCGAGCATGGCAGAAGAGGCTGCTCGAGCTCGCCAGCAGCAGGCTGCCCGAACGATGCCTGACGTCCGGGCGCTTCGGTCGGTGCAGCAGCAGGTTGTCGACGACGTCTGGCAGATTCGCCACTTTGAGAATCTCATCGAGGAGCCTTGGTGCCGCGTCGCCATCAACGGCGTCTTCTCTTGCAGCCAGCAGTACGTCGAGCAGCAGCAGGAGCTCGCGACGCTGGCGGCGCCCGAGGCGAACCGGCGGCAGGCGCGGCTGCAAGCCAAGAATACGGTGTGCCTCTGCAACTCGGTCTGCCCTGACGAGACGCGCTCGTGGCTGCGCTGCGTCAAGCGCGCCACCAAGCCCAATGGCACGACAGAGTCGTGCGAGGCCGACCGCCGCCGCCTGGAGCTGTGCACACACGGAGGCGTCTCTCGCCTGTTGCACGGGCTTATGCTGCCGCACGACAAAGCGAGCGAACTGTCGCACCTCTAAGGAATCGAAGTAGTGCTGTCGACGTGGCTGATGTGCGTGTGCGTGTGCGTGTGTGATGTGAGGCGTGTGCGACTTATAGCTTTAATGTGCGCGCTGAACACGAACTGAGCCCTGGCTGTCACAGGCTGTCAAAGGTGCTGTGTCAGGACACTCGCAGGTGATCTGTCGGGCTGTCGGGCAGCTGTCAGGCATTGTCAGGTGCCTCTGTCAGACCAGCTGTCAGGTGCTGTCAGTGCTGTCGGGTGCGTGTCTGACAGTCGAGGTGCTCTGTAGCTGTCGGGTGCTGTCGGAGCTGTCGGGTGTTTTGGCTGTTGCTGTCAGACCGGCTGCGGTCGGACGAGCTGTCAGAGGACAGAGAGCTGTCAGCTGGCTGTATAGTTTTGTTATACCCTCATGGGGCACAAGAAAGAGGCTCTACGGGGTCGGACTGTGTACGGTCTGTGCTGCTGTCGGGCTGTCAGCGCTGCTGTCAGGCCGCACTGTGTGCTGTCGGGCTGTCGGGCAGCTGTCAGGCTGTCACGTTAGGGCCTGACAGCGACGGAGCACCTCGATTGTCAGACTCTGCTGTCTCAGGCTGTCAGATACGTGCTGTCAGATTGTCGGAGAAAGTGCTGTCAGCGCTGTCAGGCTGTCGGGCACTGTCAGGCGCTGTCCGGGGTTTGCTGTCAGGCTGTCAGACCAGGGCTCAGAACACGAATCTCACGATCTTCTCGCGGAAAAACTGATCTTCGAGGTTCTCGTTCTCGGGGCGCGTCTCTTCACCTGGGGGCTCCTGTGAGAGCTCTGTGCGGCGGCCCAGTAGGAGTGCCCAAAAAGAATTGCTTTGCCTGACTACACCCACGTGGCTAGAAAATTGGAGTAGTAATTAATATTATTGCATCGGGAGGACGACCCCGGCTAGTCGCCGACCACACCCACAAAGAACCCTGCACCAAGATCGCACGGGCGGGGACCTGTTCCTTTTTACCCATCTCACAGTAGAGGTGTCCGTTTTTATTTACTTATTTGCGCGTGATTTGAGGTTTCGATGTTGTTCGGATGTCGACATTTTCGTGTCGTGTGGCCTTCGTTCGATGGAGCGACTGTCCTCTCGAGCAGCCTCTTTCTACTCTCGGGAAAGGCAAGCCTTGGGGATCACGTAGATGTCGTACGACCTGGGGTTGCGACCTGGCCAGAAATTGTCGCACGAGGCTGTGAGGCGGCACCACGCATTGCGGCCAAGGCTCCGCGGCAGCGGCTGCCAGAAGGAGAGGTAGTTGCAAGCGGGATCGTCGCGGCACTTCTGTTTGCACGTCTCAAGGATATGGTCGGGAGAGGTGCCGCTCACAAAGCCGTCATACGAGGCTGGCTCGTCCCGGCAGGACATACTATCTTGGGTCGGCGCTGGCACGGGACACGCCTCGCCGCCGGAGCCTTCTTCCCCGGAGCCAGAGCCTTCCTCGCCGGAGCTATCTTCGCCCGAGCCGTATCCGCCGTCACCAAGGTCATCACCAGAGCCCGAATTGCAGCAGGCCGAGCAGCCGTTCCATGAGCACTTTTCCGACCATGGTTGCGTCTTGGTCTCGCAGAACGGCTTGCACTCGGACTCGGCGCCGCACTCGGAGCAGCCGTTGCAGCCCCCCCAGGTGCACTTCTCATCCCAGGCCTGCGACTTGGTCTCGCAGAATGCCTTGCACACCGGCGCGGGAGGACCGGTCACAAGAGGAGGCATGGTAGGGTTGTACTCAAGAAGAGGAAGCATGCACTCGGTGCAGCCGCCACAGCCGGTCCAGCTGCACAGGGCGTCCCAGTATTGCGTCTTTGCTGCACAGAAGCCCTGGCATTCCCAGGAGCCAGAGCCTTCTTCCCCTGAGCCTTCTTCCCCGGAGCCAGAGCCTTGGGCGCACTCGCTGCAGCCTGCGCAGCCTGCCCAGGAGCACAGCTTCTCCCAGCCGTGGGACTTGCCTTTACAGAATGGCCGGCACAGTGCATCGATGGGTGGAGTGCCCCCGAGCGGCCCGAACCGGTCCCCGGTCGGACTCTGACCGAGGACGCATCCGGCAAAGGTCAGAAGAGCGCGACGCAGCATCCGAAGAGTGGAGCGCGAGAGGGTTCCGTCGAAAACGTCGGCGGAGTGGGCGAGGACGCGTGTTCTGCCGCAGTGCCGACGCCCGACGGTGTTTGCGCGATGGGGGACGGACGTGTGTTTTGCTTCGTCATTACAAATTAAAGTTAATTAAAGGCTCAGGAAGGTGAGTTCGGGCTCTGGTCTGGTCGAAGGCGACAGCCCGCCATGCCCCGCCCGACTGTGAGTGAGTGAGTGTCACACACACACACACACACACACACACACACACACACACACACACACACACACACACACACACACACACACACACACACACACACACACACACACACACACACACACACACACACACACACACACACACACACACACACACACACACACACACATGAAAGCGGGCTTGGAGCACTTGGAGTGCAGTTATCAGCCGCACGCCCAGGACCGGCTGTTCCATTTCCTCATCTCCTTCGTCCAGCTAGGCGGGGCGGGGGGCGTGCGGGCGCGGGGGGCGGTGCGAGTGTGTGTGCGCGTGTGACTGCAGCAAGTGACCACCCGTTGTATCAGCACACACACACACACACTCACTCACACTCAACACACTCTTTAAAAAACGCCTCAAAAGTGGCGCAGAGTGAGGTGAGGTTACCGACTGCAGCTGCACTCCAAGTGCTCCAAGTGAGGCGGCGCCCCGAGCGAGCACGTGAGCCCCGTGGCTCCAACCGGGCCCTTCCTTTTTTTTGAGCAGGTGTGCCGCCGCGCGAGCGACGCTCCGAGATCGCCCGAGATAGCGCGCCGGCGCGGCCCCGAGATCGCCCGAGACAGCGCGAGATCGCCCGAGATCGCGCGGCGCGGCCCGAGGCGCGGTGGATGGGTTGGGAGCGAGGGGGCGGAAGTGATCAGTGCGGTAGATCGGTCAGTCGGGGCGCGTGAGCCGGACTTGTGAGCCGGACGGCTTCATTTCTCTCTGCGTTCTTGCACATGGAGTGCAAGATATACTCGTTCTGTTGCCGTCCCAAACTGTCACTCCCCTTTCTCCCGGCCGGGGTGGGGCGCGCGCGGGGGCGGCGGGTGTGCGGGATGTCTGTGGCCCGAGAGCGATGTATGTGCGTGTGTCTGCCTTGCGTTTGTTTTATCGAAGGCTAGCTCAAAAAAACGCCCCCAAGTGCTCATCCGCCTGGGTTCCGGCTCCTACCCAGATAGGGGGTCTGTTCACCCCGGTTAGACCCTAACTAACTATGCAATAGGTAGGTAGGTCCGTCCGGTTTTGACCGCCCCAGAGGGCCCCGCAATAGGTAGGTACCCCCTATTTTCGTCCTTTTTCGCTTCGCTGCGCGGCCTGGGGATAGGTAGATAGGTAGGGCGTGTGAGTGTGTGAGTACACACACACATAGGAGAGAGAGACATACACACACACATAGGTAGGCGTTTTGGCGCGAGTCAGTAGCAGACCCCCTGTCTGGGAAGGAGCACGAACCCTCATGGCCGACGCGGCTGCCAAGACCGCCCTATTTGCCGCCCTCGCCGACGACGCTCGCGCCATCTACTGGGACGCGCTCTCGCGCTTCCTCACCCTGCAGATCGACAAGCCCGAGTTTGACAAGCTTGCGCTCGCGTCGCTGCCGGTGGAGGCAATCCCTCTGCACAATGGGCTGATCCTGGCGCTGCTGCGCACCGCTCTCGAGGCGCAGTCCGGCGCACCGGAGGCTGAGGAGGAGGAGGTTGGCGCGCAGCCGTCTGCGCCGGCAGAGGAGCGCAAGCCTCTCGTGTCGGGGAGCGGCTCCGTCGGCCAGGCGCGCGACGCGGCCGGCGGCGGCGGCGGCGGCGGCGGCGGCGGGCTGGGCGGCGGCGGCAGCAGCGGCGGGAGCGGCGGCGGGCTCAAGCTGTCGTTCAAGATACGGAGGGACGACACGGGAAAGGAGAGCTTCAGCGCTGCCGGCGACGGGCAGGCGCACGAGAGCGGCGCTGCGCCGGGCGCCGGCCTAGGCGCCGAGCCGCCGCCGGTGGACCTGGCCGAGGCTGACCAGCTCAACGCGCTGCACGACCGCCTGCTCGGCCTGTGCTGCCGGCATGGCGTCCCGCGCGTCCAGCTCGAGGCGGTCTCCTTTGTCCAGCGCGCCGTCAAGGCGCACATGCGCCGCCTCCTCGTCGCGAGCGCCGAGTTTGCGCCGGCGGCAGGAGAGGGCGGCGCGACGCGGCGCACCGTCGGGACACGCGAGCTGAACGCCGCGCTCACGCAGCCGACGTCCTCGGCGTGGCTGCCGCCCAACCAGCGTCTCGCGTCCGCAACGCGCAGCGCCGCGCTGGGCGGGCGCCTGTTGTGAGGTAAGTAAGGTACACCTTAGCCCTTAGGTAACAAGGGGTAAGGTAAGGTAAATTTCTCCACACACACACAGTGGTGGGGCAAGGGGGGGCAACCCTCGCATCTCCTCCCCCGGACACGGGCAGCCAGGAGCCCCACAGCATTCAAAGTGCAAGGCCCCTGGAGGGCCCCACGGCGGGCACGGACCTCTGGGCACACCCACACACGCTGCCCCTCCTGCCCCCCGCCACGCCGCGCGCGCCCCACCGGCAGCGGCCAGCCCCTTGGAGTGTGAAGGCTTCGTAGCCCTCCGACTGAAGATCCGCAGGATTGGAGCGAAAAAAACCCAAGAGAGTAGTGTAGGAAGGCGGGAGAAAGCCACCGAAGTGGTCCTGGCAGCGGCACCGCGCTCAGCAGACAGCACACCTGCACCCGCCGCCCCCCGCCCAGTCCGCAGTGTCGCGGCACCACAGTCCCCAGGTCCCCACCGCCGCGCCGCGCTCTCCCTCTTACGTACGTTAAAAGTGCGAGTGTCGGACTGAGAGGAGGGCGCCTCTGCCATATAAGGTCAGAGGTCAGGTCAGGTCATCGACTGGGGTCAGGTCAGGCCAGGTCAGGTAAAACGATAAAAATCTATAAAAGGTCGGGGCAGGACCCTCGATCGCACAATTCACAAAACTCCCTCACGAGCACAGCCCGACAGCTCGGTCAGCGGCGATAGGATTCAAATAGCCTCGGCTATTCGAATCGCGGTCAGCGGACGGGATTCAAATAGCCTCGGCTATTCGACGCGGCCATCGGGCTGGCCGCCGGCACGAGCAGCGGCGTCGGCGCGATGACCAGCCTCGCCCTCGCCCTCGCGCAAGCCGGCGCCGCCCTCCTCCATCGCGCCCACCGGCGCCGCGGCCCACGGCCTCGCGTTGAGCGGCTCGGTCAGCTGCCGGGCGGCGGAGGGCGCTGGCCGGTGGTAGTAGAGCACGAGGCCTGAGAGCGTCGCGACGAACGCGGGCGGGTACCACCAGGTCAGCCGCGAGCCGAGCAGTGCGACGCCGGCGAGAACAGACCAAAAGTCGGAGGTGAGCAGCGAGATGTTCATCTCCGCGGCGGTGGCGCCGCGCTGCAGCAGGTGCGAGACCAGCGAGTAGAAGGACGCCTATTCGTTCACCGCTGATCGTTACTAGTTGTTGGTCATTCCTGAGAAGAGACCAGCGAGTAGGAGGACGCCTAATAGTTCATAGCTATTCGTTGATAGTTGGTGGTCATCACTGAAGAGGCCAGCGAGTAGGAGGTCGCCATCGAGCCGACGAAGAGCAGCTCGAGCAGTAGCAGCTCGGTGCGGCCGGCCAGGCTAGCGGAGGAGAAGGCGCGCCACGCGGAGGCCAGCGCCTCGCGCTCAATCAGCGCGCACTGCGCCGCCGAGAGGAGAGCGCCGGCGGCGCCGAGCCGCGGGAGATAGTTGGAGACCGAGGAGGAGCGCAGAAACGCCTCTTCGGCCACGTTGGAGCAGGCGTACAGCGAGGCACCGAGGAGGCAGAGCATGTCTCCTCGCCACGGCTGGGGGTGCCAGCTGTGCATTGGCCGCAGCAGCGCGTCCGACATCACCAGCGTCGCGAGGCCGGAGACGCAGAGAGCCACGCCGCAGATCTGCTTGCGGCCATAGCGCGCGCCGAGCGTAAGGGCCGAGAGCGCCATCACGCCTGGGGCAGCGACGGCGAGGTGTAGCCGAGATGCGGCCGAGGCTAATCCGAGATGTGGTCGAGATGCGGCCGAGATATGGCCGAGATGTGGCTCAGGTGTGTCCTATCACGCCTGGGACGGCAAAGGCGTCGAGCAGCGTCACCGAGGTGATGTCGGTGTACTGGTACGCCCGCACGATCAGGTAGTTGCCCTCGACGTCTGCGAAGCCGAGCAGCAGCCACTGCCACCACGGCCTCGCGACCGGCGGCAGGCCGGCGACACGATTGTCGCGCCGCGCCGTGATCGCGTGCAGCATCAGCACTAGGTAGACCGCGAGACTCTGTGCCGTCGGCGCGGCGATGCCGCGCTCGGCGAGCCGCTGCGAGGTGAAGCCGGTGGCGGTGAGGAGGACGGAGCAGCCCTGCCACGCCAGGAGCTGCTGCGCTCGCGCCGGCGAGGCCAGGAGCCGCGGACGTCGCTGGCTCGGCTGCATGGACCGGCAGCTGCTCGGCTTGCACGGAATCTTTAGATTCTGAATCAGCTGATTGAGTTTTTGCTACCCTTTTATCGCCCACTGCAGCGACTAGGAGCAGGTGCCCAGCGCGGAGGTGCCGAGCGTCGTCCACCTCTGTGAAGGGTTCGCGCCATTACGCCTCTGGGGCGGATGTCGCTTTCTTAATTGGCGCGGGCGACCCCCGTAAGCTCTCAAGGCCGACCTCCCATCTTCCTCTCTCCGAGATGTGGCCGCACGTTCTGGGACATACGGGACGTAGCTGCGTGTCAAAATACGGAAATACGTACGCCGTCTTGCGCCGTTTTGTGTTTGATGTATTGGCCCTTACCAGAAAGTTGCGTGCGGGGCTCGAGCCTCGGGCTACAGTATTGTACGGACGCGCTTTTCTCCAGCCTAAAAAAGTCCACTTCCTTGAAAAATCGCGCGCTGCACGCGCCAGGATGCAGGAAGCTAAACCCACACCTCTAAAATCAGATTTTTTCTCTAAAAACGACACCGAAAATGAAGACCCCGCCAAAATGACGCACTCAATACCTGACCTTTTGAGCCGCGACGAGGTCTGTGCGAGGAAATTTGCGGTGTTGTTGCGCGAAAGAAAGGAAAGTTGCGCTCACATCTAACGAAAGTCTGGTAAGGGCCAACGTATGTAGAGATCGTCTAAACTATCATATGTACTCTTATCGTGGGCTTCCTAATATATAAGTCGGTTTCGGGGCACGGGGGGCAGGCTAGGGGTACACAACTGGTCACAGTTTCTCGCGCGAGAAGACAGAGCTACAGGTTGAGATCAGCTTCGAAGATCAGCTCTCGACCGTTCTCTCGTACAGATAGTATCAACTTTGGCCTTGACATTGAAGTAGCTCGCGGCGAGCTCCGACGCCTGGTGCACGTGAGCTTCGTCCCGCATACTTGCGTTGCCGGGCGGCCGCAGTGTCGTGCCGTTGAAGGTCAAGAGGTCGGGCGCTGCCAAGGGTGCCGAACCTTGTCGGACCTTAAGACAGCATTGTAGATCCCTGGGCGAGGGTGGTGGCGTCCCCGTCGGGAGGGGCTGTCTGGCGGAGGAGAGCAACCAGGTGCCCGGCGGCGTCCCGCCACATCCGGATGACCTCTCCTCCTTGTGGCAATCAGCCAATCAGCGAGTTTGGTGTGGACTTGCGTCCTCGCGTCGATCGTGGTTACATACAAGTAAGTAAGTAGTAGAGCGTTATGTCACACACGACACACACAGAGCCGACAGGGACACAAACACAGACACAGACATAGACACACACACTGCGCTCCCCTCAGCGGGCAGAGACACGCGAGCCCGACGGAGTCCGGTGGCGGGGGCCCACGCAGCCAGCCCCTGCACTGACATGGTTGGTGCTAAGCCGCCGCCGGCCGCCGCCGCTCGCTCTCGAACTGCGTCGCGCTGCCCGCTGCTCCGCCCGTTCCCCGGAGCGCAGAGATCCGGGACATACGTAAAGCCGTACACACATACGCGCACTAGGCACCATCTAGGCACGGGAGGGATTGGCAGTAGGAATCCAACCACATTTTGACTGTCTGTTTTTTATGTCTTCTGGGCACGGGACTTGCGCGCACAGGCACTAACACAGGTACACCACGGCGCACCGGAATGCAGCACGCGCGCGCCCCTCCTCTGCTCTCCGCGCCGCTCCACCCTCAAACTCCGCCACCGAAAGCACGCCTCAGTCCTCCGTGAGCCCCACGTGCCGCAGCACCGGCCCGACGGTGAAGCGGTAGCGGTGGTGCGCGCGCACGAGCCGCGACACGTTGTACGACTCGACGCCCGCGCCCGCCGGGACCGGGCTAAGGCCGGCGACACCAAACGCCTTGAGCTGCGCGGCGCGGTGGGCGAGGGAGAGGACGAGGTCGTCCGGGCGGTAGCAGTTGACCAGCCGGCCCGCGACGACGCGGCGAAGCCGCCGCCACCGTGCAGGGTCGGAGGAGGCGGGCAAGCCGAGCAGAACCGCGTGCTGGACGATGCCGGCGGCGCGCGCCTCATGGGGATGGGTACAGGCAGATGGGGCATTCAAACTCATGGAGAGCAGACGCCATGGCTGCTCGTCCTCATCCATACAGGCAGCCAAAGCATGAGTTGAGTGACTCCTTGTACCCTTGACTAGACCGTGGCGCGCGCCTCCCCCGCCTCGGACGCGCGGCACATCTCGTTATTATCTCGTGCGATCTCGTGCGAACGCGCGCCTCCCCCGCCTCGGACGCGCGGCACATCTCGTGCAATTAATTAATTACTTAATTAATTCGCGCGCCTCCCCCGCCTCGGACGCGCGGCACATCTCGTGCAAGCACTCCCACACCACGTATGCGCCGAGCCTACGAGTACGTGAGTGGAGATGCCAACCTCGGGGCGGGAAGGCGGTGCTGTGCGGTGTATACGGAGCACCGCGTGAGTACGAGCAGCTGCGAAGAACGGGATACAGCGGAGTGCGTGTCCTCCCGAGCGCTAGTTGGAATACGAGAATGTGTCTTCCGCTTCGAGATATGGGGAGATATGGGGAGATATGGGGAGATATGGGGAGATATGGGGAGACATTCCGCTTCTAGGCGTTCGAGCGAGAAACCAACCAGCGTGACGGGTCGGCCGCCTTGTGAGGTGAGGTGAGGTCAGGTAAACTTCTCCACACACACGAGGTGGGAGGTGGGGCAAGGGCCAGGCAGCCCTCGCGACTCCACGTCTGTACGACAGGAGCCCCACGGCATTAAGAGTGCAAAGGCCCGGTGCGCTTGGGTGAGCGGTGTGTGTGTGTGTGTGTGTGTGTGTGTGTGTGTGTGTGTGTGTGTGTGTGTGTGTGTGTGTGTGTGTGTGTGAGGGGGGGGGCGGGGGGCGCCTTGTGCGCGCGAGAGGAGCGCGCGGGCTAGCAGCCTGCCCGCTCGCCTCGCGCGCGTGTACGCGACGCCCCACGGGTTATCGAGCACGTCGCACGCCTCCATTAATTAATTAATTGCTTCATAATTAATAGCACGCCCCACGGGTTGTCGAGCACGTCGCACGCCTCCATTAATTAATTAATTGCTTCATAATGAATAACACGCCCCACGGGTTGTCGAGCACGTCGCACGCCTCCATTAATTAATTAATTGCTTCATAATGAATAGCACGCCCCACGGGTTGTCGAGCACGTCGCACGCCTCCATTAATTAATTAATTGCTTCATAATTAATAACACGCCCCACGGGTTGTCGAGCACGTCGCACGCCTCCATTAATTAATTAATTGCTTCATAATTAATAACACGCCCCACGGGTTGTCGAGCACGTCGCACGCCTTGATGGCGTGGGCGGGAGATCGCGGGAGATCGCGGGAGATCAAGAGGGAGATCGCGGGAGATCAAGAGGGAGATCGCGGGATATCACGGACCGCGGGAGATCGCGGGAGATCGCGAGGGAGATCACGAGGGAGATCGCGGGAGATCGCGGGAGATCACACCTTGATGATGTAGGCGGGCACGGCGCACGCCGCCATCAGCGCGTGGAAGAAGGTCTGCCGAAGCGCCATCGAGGCGGAGAGCGTGAGCGCCTCGGTGGCAGCGATACGCGAGAGGGCGCCCCCGAGCCTGCGGTGTGAGTACGCCGACATGAGGGCGTGAGCACGTGGTATTGTGCAGCGTGTTCAGAGCAGCGCGTGAGTACGAGGGGGGTGCGAAGACAGTGAACACAGCGGAATACGGCGGAATACGGCGGGATACAGTTGAGTCCGTGTCCTCTCGAGCGCTAGTTTGGAGACATGAACACGTATTCCGCTTCTGGGTGAACGAGATATGGGGAGATATGGGGAGATATGGGGAGACATTCCCGCGTCTAGGCGTTCGAGCCGCTTCAGCTCCTCCGACTCCCACCGCAGCGCGTGGTGCTCGCACCTATCTTCCCATATCTCCCCATATCTCCCCATATCTCCCACCGCAGCGCGTGGAGCTCGCACCACGGCAGCAGCTCGAGCACGCTGGCGCACTCCTCCCCCCCCTCCTCCCCCCCGTCCACCACCTCAAACTCCTCCACCGCCTCCAGGCCCGCCGCCGCCCCTTCCGGCGCCTCCGCCGCCGCCGCCGCTTCGGCTGGCCGGGGCGGCGGCGCGGCCGGCGCCGTATCGCCGTCCAGGGCTCCCGGCGGCGGCAGGGGCGCCGGCGCCACGCCGCGAGGGGCGAGGTCGACTCGGGAGGGGTCGGGCACCTGGAATATGGGGGAGGTGTGGGGAGACATGGGGAAGGTGCGGGGGTGGTAGGTGTGGGGGAGATATGGGGGAGGTGTGGGGGAGGTGTGGGGGAGGTGTGGGGGAGGTGTGGGGGAGGTGTGGGGGAGGTGTGGGGGAGGTGTGGGGGAGGTGTGGGGAGATGTGGGAGAGATGTGGGGAGATGTGGGAGAGATGTGGGGAGATGCGGATCTGTGCTCCGCCGTCCAGGCGTGCTCGAGAGGTGGAAAGAGTTGGGGAGATATAGGGAAATAGGGGGAGAGAGGGGTTCGTCTTCCGCATCTAGGGAAAAGAAGATGCGGCCGGTGACAGTATGCTCGTGTCGGCTCCTCGAGCCGGCGTGTGTGTGTGTGTGTGTCTGTCTGTGTGTGTGTGTGTGTGTGTGTGTGTGTGTGTGTGTGTGTGTGTGTGTGTGTGTGTGTGTGTGTGTGTGTGTGTGTGTGTGTGTGTGTGGCATTTTCGGCACGTCCTCCGTGCGTGCAGCTTCTGCAGCACTGACTGACTGACTGACTGACGTCCGCATCTAGGGTCGGGCACAGCCCGGAGAGCCAGGAGGGCCTCCACCATCGCCTCGACCGACCCGTTCGTCTGCGCCACCTCCGCCGCCAGCGCCGGATCGAACCCCATCGACACTAGCCACCCCACAGCGTCGCCTCCGCCGCCGACTCCGCCACCGCCGCCCTCCTCCGCCGCCGCTTCGCCCTCGGCCGCTGCCGCTTCGTCCGCCGCTTCTGCGGCCCTCTCCTCCGCCGTCTCCTCTGCCGCGCGAGCAACGCCTTCGTCCCACGACAGCGCCTGGCGCGGCGCCGGGGCCAGTGCTGGAGCCTCACCGCCAGCTGGATCCAGCTGAGTCGCGCCTCCAGCCTCACCGCCAGTTGGATCCAACTGAGTCGCGCCTCCAGCCTCACCGCCAGTTGGATCCAGCTGAGTCGCGCCTCCAGCCTCACCGCCAGCTGGATCCAAAGCAGCAGGCGGCGCGGCGGGTGAGCCGACGGCCTCGTCTTGCGCCTCCGCGCGCGGCGCGACTGCGCGGACATGCGACGCTGCAATCCCGACGCCGGCCATGGTGAGGGCGTGCGTCGCACCAAGCACACGGGCTGCCCCGGGCTTGGGCTGGAGCTCGCTGTGCCTCGCCCACCAGTGGCGCGCCGGCGTCTCGGCCTCGCTCTCCAGCCACCCACTCACGCCAATCAGCACGCTGAGCGAAGGCGCCGCCGCGGCTCCTCCGTCGCCGCCACGCGGTGCGGACAGCCCGTCCTCGCCGCACTCTCCCGCCTCGGCGCGCTCCTCCCCTGCCAGCTGCACCACCACAGCTCGCTCGACCTGCAGCACCGGCAAGCCCAGCAGCCGGCACGCCCCCGGCAGCGAGATTGCATTCAGCCGCCCGCGCGCGTACCTAGAGCGGAAAAATCCTCGAAGGTTCCGGGAAGGCTCCTCGACAGGCGACAGCCCCCTCGCACGCGGACTCGGCGGCGGCGACGTCGGCGGCGGCGATCGACAACTCGAGCGCGGGCGGGTGCGACGTGCTGTCCACCGCGAGCGCGACCCGGTCCTCGGGCGACCCGCTCGCCTGCGGCGTGAATACGCCGTGGGGGGAGATGTGGGGAGATATTCCGCTTCTAGGCGAGGGAGCCTGAGCGAGAGCCGCGCGCAGCCGCGGGACCGTCGACGCGGGCACGGACGCGACGGCCGGGGCCAGCTCGATGCGCTGAGACACGAGTGCGCCGCATTCCTCTTCGGAATCGACGCCGCCGCCACTGCGGACGCCGTCGCCGCCGTCGCCGCCGTCTCCACCGCCGTCGCCCCCGTCGTGCTCCCGCTCTTGCTCCGCCGCCCTCTCCGCGGCCGCCTGGGTTCGGGTACCATGGGGTAGGGGAGGGTGGGTTCGGGTACCGTGGGGTAGGGGAGAGCGAGCCCTCTCCGTGGCCGCCTCACGTGCCGCAAGAATCAGCGCCTTGCGCGGCTGCAGAAAGTCGAACTCGGAGACGTCTGCGAGCCGGCGGTCCATCTTGTACGCCGCGAGGCCGGCGCCTGGTGGTAGGTAGGTAGGTAGGTGTTACCTCACACTGTCTGGGCAGAGACAAGGAGGGCCCCCGCACACACATGAACCCACACATACAGAGAGGGACGAGTGCACGCATTGGGCATCAGAGAGCCATGAGTGTTCGTTGTTGTTTGGCGCGAGGCCGGCGCCTGGTGAAAGGCGAACAAAGAGAACGCGGGGCGCGCGTCAGTCCCTCCTCCTCGCGGCCAGTCTCACCGCAGCGAGGCCGGCGCCGGTAGCGCCGAAGAGGGACGTCACCACTGCCACGCCCGCGGCGCCTGAATCACCATCCGTCTTGCGTCACTCCTCCAGGAGAGGGGGGGGCGTGATGCCGACTGCCCTGCCCCCGCGGCTCCTGAGGACCCACGAGTCGAGTCTGCAGTGAAGAGGGGACACGTGACGGCTGCCCACCCCAACGCTCCTGAGAGGAGCGAAGCGATCGACGCGACGCCGGTGCCGAGCAGTGCGCCCGCCTGATTGAAGCGAACTTTGGTCATTGATCATGACTTCGGCGACGCCAATGCCGAGCAGTGCGCCCGCCGTCCCCAGGGAGCTGATCCCGCCCCCAACCGCCGCGATGCCACCGATCACGGCGGGGGCAGCGAGGCCGGCCTGCGGCATTGGGGAGGTGTGGGGAGGTGTGGGGAGGTGTGGGGAGGTGTGGGGAGGTGTGGGGAGGTGTGGGGAGGTGTGGGGAGGTGTGGGGAGGTGTGGGGAGGTGTGGGGAGGTGTGGGGAGGTGTGGGGAGATGAGGAGAATGTGGGGATGTGAGGCCAAAGCTGCGGTTTGAACACAAGAGGTCCGCGGCGTGGTGTGAAGTGGATGAATACACGGGCTACGAGGGGATGCGAATGCAGCCGAGTGCGGCGGAATACGTGTCCTCTCGAGCGCCGGTCGGCAGACACACTTCCGTGTGCAGCGTCTACAGTTGCCCGCCGTCAGCGCGACCGCCGCGCCCGACGCGAGCCCCACGCCTGAAGGAAGGCAGAAATCGGGCGACCGTGAACAAGAAAAAAAACACGAACCAACACAAGCCCCACGCCTGAAGACAGAAATCAGGCCGCCGTAAGAAGCCCGCGGAGAGCGTCGCGCCCCGAGGCGAGCCCCAACGCCTAAAAAGAAAGAAATCCGCGCGTAAGAAAAGAAAAGCAGAAAAGAAATCGGCACGCGGACCCGCCGACAACAGCTGCGCCGCGGCGCCAGCGGCGTCCAAACGTGCGCGTCATCGGGCTGGGCCTACAGCAGGGAGGGTCCGAAAAAGCGGGTCCTCGACGGCTCATGGCCGGTCGACCAGCTTGCCACCGCAGGCGCTCCGCCTACGGGACGCTTCCGAGAAGGTTCGCGTTCGGCGGTGTCGGCGCGTCCAAGTGTGCGAGGCATCTGGCTGGGCCGGCTAGAGCCTGCTCGCGCCGCCGCTATCGCGCAGCGCCCGCAGCTTGGCGGGCAGCGTCGCCAGCGCGGCGGCCAGCTGCGCCTCCCGCCTCGCCACCGCGCGCCAGTCGACACCCAGCGCGCCCGCCGCGTCGCAGACGAGCTGGCGGCAGCGCGCGTCGTAGCCGAGGAGGAGCGGCGGGCGGCCCTGTGCGCCGCCGCCCGCGCCGGACGCGCCCGAGCCCACGGCGAGCAGCGCCGCCAGGCCGTGCAGCAGCTCCTCGCGCCGGGCGGCGCTCGCGGGCAGCGACTCGGCGAAAGGCTCGGGCGACAAGGGAGGATCCCCCTCGAGGGGAGGAGCGGAGAGCGGCTCGAGCGCGGTGAGCTGCTCCGCGGGAAGCTCGAGCACGCCGCACAGAATCGAGCGCAGCAGGGCGGCGGAGAAGCGCTCGGCACCCTTGGCGGTCGGCTCGAGGTCCCAGCCGTCGCTGCGGCGTCCCACGAGCACGGCCAGCACCCCGCCGAGCGAGATGCGCTCGTCCGTCGTGAGCGCACGGAGGGAGGCGAGGGCGGCTTCGATGTCGTCAAGGTCCGGGTCAACACCTCGTGATTTAGCCATTTGTGCGCCCGACACAACTGGGAGCGTCCGTCCCGGCGTCTCTTCGCTGTTGTTCACAGCACGCCCCTAGGAACCTGGGGTTGCTGCCCCCCGTGAATAAACAAATGTGAAAAACGAAGAGCGCTGGCATGAACATTCATTTATAAAATGAACTCGAAACCTTCATTCTTTCCCTTTTCTCCTTCGTGCCCCACAGCCCGATGACCTTCCTCGCTGCCCGGCCGCTGCTCCGCGCTTCGCGCTGCCCGGCCGTTGCCCGCTCGACGGCGCCGTGCGCCCTCGCCGCCTATGAGGCGCCGCTCGCGCTGCTCTCCGATGTCGGCAACCCGGTGAGCGACCTCTTCCAGAGCCCGGTCGCCGTCGCGTACCTGGGCGTGCTCACTGTCCTCTTCGGCTTCCTCGGCTTCCTCGCGTACAGCGACGCGCAGGGCAAGGCGCGGCGGCGCGAGGCCGCCGCGCAGCGCGCGCAGGCGATGGAGGAGATGGCGCGCGTGACGCCGCAGCTGCGGGAGCAGGGAAAGGACGAGGAGGCGGACGCGATCGAGCGGGAGATGGACCGGCTGCGCGCCGCGGAGATGTCCTCCTCCGCGGCCCCCTCCCCGCCCGGCCGCCAGCGCGAAAAGGCGCCGATGTGGATGCCGGGCGGCGCCTTTGTGGCGCCGGGCACCGAGCCGTCGTCGCTCGAGGACACGGGCAACCGCTTCATGCGGCGGCAGGGGGCGGGGCTCGAGGAGGGGGGCGGCGCGGCGCCGCTCAAGAAGACGCGCCGCAGGCAGCGGGCGAGGCGTGGCGCCGCGGCGCGAGCGGCGCGGTCGGAAAAGTGAGCTCTCAGCGAGAGCTACGATCTTTCTGGCGGCTGCCCACCATCCTGTAGCATGCTATGTGTAGCCCATACATCGCCGCGATACTGTGAAGATAAAATAAACCTTGCGGTCTCGTTCATTCCGCGAGCAAAAGGAACTAGGAAGAAGGATGCCAGCGCGCAGCGGCGGCGCGACGCGCAGAGTCGTTATGGTTATCTGCTCTTGCGGTGTCTTGGCTCTTGCGGCAGCTCGTCACCGCCTGCATCTTCGGACGGAAGCTGTAAGGACTGAGAGGTCGAGCGGCAGCGAACGCTCCACCGCGGCGCGCGGTCCGGAGCGCGGCGCGCGACGCAGCGCCTCACGGGACGCCATTGCAGTCGAGGCCGCCATTAAAAGAGTTGCTGCGAGAAATAGAGTTTGCCCGTTTTATTTATTTATTATTTAATCCAAGAGAGGAGTGGGAGGGCGGGAGAATCCAAAAAAGCCGTCCCAAAAGCCACAAAAAGCCAGCGAGCCTCCCGTTACGCGATTGCTCGCGAAGCGCAGCATGATGCGTGGCCACCGAAATCCCGCGTGAAAACCAAGCTGCCGGAAAAGGTTCGGCTTCATAGTTTTTCTGGTTCCTCCTGCCGCGTGAAACGGTTTCTCGGCCCCCGCTCGCTGCTCCGCCGACTCGCGCGATGGAGCCCGCCAAGCAGCAGGACCTGGACCAGCTTTCGCGAGAGGTCCGCATTGCGAACGAGTACTACTTCCGCAGCCATCCAGAGTTGCGGCTGCTGATGAAGAGCTTCGTCGCTGCACTCCACGTTGAGAATGTCCCCGCTGGCGAACTTCGCACATTTGCAGAGGCCTTCTTTGCAGATCCAACCCTCGCCAGCCGCATCAAAACAGCGCAGGCAAAGTTAGGCCCGGCTGCGGAGATGAAGGATCCCGCCATTCTCGAGCACATCGAGCGTGTGTTCGAGGAGGTTGACACGGATGGGAGGGGCACGCTCTCCCGCGGGGAGCTGCGAGCGAAGATCCAGCAAGATGATCAGTTGGAGAAGCTGTTGGGCAAACCGGACCTCAAGCAAATGTCGTCGATGAAGAGCTCCGAGTTCTCCTTTGAGGGGCTGTTCGGCGACGCCGACATGGACGGCAACCGCGAGCTGACTTTGGAAGAGTTTAAGCTCTCCATCGTGCTCGCGCGCAGCAAAGCGGTCTTTCAGGCAGAAAGCGGTGGGTCGGACGGAACGCTGACCCGGGCAGAGGTCCAGAAGCGCATCCAGGCGGACGAGGACCTAGTCGCGATACTTGGCCTCCGCGACCTCCAGCGAATGTCGTCGATGAAGATTGCCAACCCGAGGTTGCACCGGCTGCTCGCCGAGACCGACGCGGACGGCGTGGAGGAGCGCCTCACCTGGAACGAGTTCAAGTCGACCGTGAGGCCGCCTCCAGCCTCCGCACCTGTCTCCGCGGCGCTAGGAACCGGCGTGAGCATCGTCGCGTGAGCGTTCGAGAACGCGTTCGGCCACAGCCGCAATTTTTGAGTGCGTGATCCGTTGGCGCCATACCGTGTATACGTAAAGCTCTGAATTTCTTTTTGTTTTTACGCGACAATCGAGCGGCGTGCGCCGGCGTGCGGAAAGGCAAAGAACATATGGACCCGCCAGCGAGAGAGGTGGCGGTGAGTCGACAGGAAGCGCTGGAGCTCATTGACAAGCTCGACCTCAACGGCGACGGCAAGCTGAGCAAGAGCGAGAAGGCGGTGGTTGAGGCCAGATTTGAGGCACTCGAGGCAACCACGGATGTCAATGGCTGGGCGCGTGAGCGGGCACGAGGCGCTGGACCTGAATGGGGACGGGCGGGTGACAAAGAGCGAGAAGGACGAGCTGGACGCCAACGGCGACGGCGCAATCAGCAAGCTCGAGGCGGATCCGTGACGCTCACGCAGACGAGGCGGGACTGCTCGAGATCCTTCACCGCCATGGAGTTGAAGCCGTCGCCTCGGGCGAGCTGAGCGAGGAGCTGCTCCAATGGAAACACGCGCTGCCGCCGGCAAGCGATGGCGCCCGGCACCTACCGCTGCTTGGCCTCTGGGCGACGCAAGGCAACGCAACCAACGAGCTAGCCCTTGCCTTTGTCAGCCTCGCGGTGCTGCTTTCCGTCGCGGGCTACGTGTGGCGATGCCTCCTTGGGCGCCGCTACCGCCAGATGCACGCGCGAGCGCTTCTCCGTCTAACGACAATTTGGTTCAGCGTAGCGTTATGCGCATGGACTCGGACGAGCTGCAGGTTCGCCACACAGCTCGTCACGTATGTTCGCCACACAGGAGCTTCCCCCGCCCCGCGACTAAAGCAGCCTGGACCCCGCCCTGGCAGGAGCTACCGCCACGCGCTATGCGGTCGCCAACTTAAACCGTCGTGAATTGATGTTGAGAATTTGCCATCGCGTGGGCACGACCCCCGTTGAGACCGTTCGAGCTCTGCGCGAGTGGCGAGTGTTGCCATTGTAGAACCATGTCTGCACTCCCCTTTAGAGAGAGAGAGTATGGAGCAGGGCACCATCTTTGTCTCGAATCGCACCAAATGAGGAATGGGAGGCGGAGCACTGGGAGCACTTGGAGCACTTGGAGTGCAGTCATTAACCGCACGCTCGCACCGGCGATCCACGGTTTTTTCGGCGATCGGACGCGTCATGGACGCGGTCGCTTTCTGCCGAGACTCGCCCTTGCCTTGACGCCGATGCAGCTCTCAGCACTCGCGCCAGTTTATTTCCCGGTGATCGTCGCAGCCGATTCCGCCGAGGCCCACATCATCGACGACATCGCCAGCGAAGTGCACGACATGATCGCGGAGTACGACTCGGAGATGCTCAGCGAGGCGGAGCAGGCGGCGAGCTTGGAGCACGATGAGGACTTGCCCGAGTACGATCTCCCAGCCGCGGTCGGCGTGGCCCTGGACAAGGAGCAGCAGCTGCGTGACGCTCTGCACGCGCCTCCCTCGCCTCCCAAGGGCGACACCTCAGGCCGCCGTCGCCACTGAGCAACGCTCGGCCCACTACTGCCGCCCCTTGCCCCCTGGCTCTCCTGGGAGCAAAGAGCCGCTTAGCCTTGTACCATCGCGAACATGTAGCTGCATTAGCTAGGACGCTTGAAAGTGCGTTCTCCATTGCCACTGCCATTGGCTCGCCGTGTGCAGAGGACGGTATCGTTGAGGGTTGCTTCCTTGGCGCGCACTCCCAGTTACGAGTTAGCATGTCTCTAGCAAGCACATGTGTCAAGTGAGTTAAAGTACTTTCTTTGGGTGAGGTACATCCCACAGCACCAGCCACCACGTAGAGCCGTACAGCCGAGGCAGCACCCTGGACCCTCACCCGCTTTCCCTGACTTCGCGGACTCGACCGGCCTGACCCGGCCCCCCAGCCGGCGGCGAGGCGACGGGATGCGCGGCCGCTGCCGCGGCCGCCGCCGCAGCAGCATTGGCCGCAGCTGCGGCTGCTGCAGCGGCCGTTGCCGCGGCTGCGGCTGAGGGCCGGGCTTTGCGCTCGAGCGGGGCTGCACGTGCACCTTCACTGGCGGCAGGGGCGGCTGGACCCGGCGGCGTCGGCAGGCCACCAGAAGCAGAAGCGGGCTCCACGGGCGAGTCGCGCTGCCTGTGCTGCCGCTCGGCGCGTAGCATGGCGTGCAGCATGGCCCCCGCCTCTCCTGCTCCCGGAGGATCATCAGCCCCGCGGACGGTGTGCTGGTGCTGCGCGCGCAGCCGCCCCTCCCTCGTCCGCTTCAGGTCCTGCTCGACGAGCGTGGCAACGCCAGCATGCGGGAGGCTCTGCTCCGCCGACGCTGCCTCCTCGGTGGCGCGCCCAGCCTCTCGCTCGGACCGTGCATCGTCCGGACGGCCGCGTGTCGAGCGGAGCGCCTGGAGCACGAAAGGCCGCGCATCCTGAGCCCGAGCTCCATGCGTGTTCAGAGCGAGGCTCGGGCGTGCTTTGGCGCCTCGAGGCCCGCGGCAAGCTGCGCGTACGTTGTGCGCGCGGAGGCGTGTGCGACCTCGCCCACAGCGGCAGTCTCGCACGCGCGTCCGCCCACCGCGCCGCCACTTTGGTAGCCACCGTCGACGGCAGCACGCAGCGTGGCTATCTTCTCCTGCGCCGCGCCGAACGCGCGGCGCAAATCTCGCACCTCGGCGCCTAAACGTGACCAGACATCGCGCGCTGCAACCACCCGTCAGCGGTGCGCGCATCGTTTGCGTCGCGTCGATGGACCGCTCGCGCGTACCGCCGCATCCTTCTCCCGCAGCTGCGATGTGAGCGAGCGTACTTGAGCCTCGGCGCTCGCGAGCTGCAGGACAGCGAACCGGGCGAAGGGCATCAAAGGTCAGTTCCAGGGGGTCAGTTCTTGGCGGTGGCTGCTCTGTCAGGGTGGGTGGCGCAAAGCCTGCTCCCGCCGCTGCGGCGCTGATAGCTCAGCCTCGTCCTCGCCGGCCCTTAGCTGAGCCTCGGCCGCTGCCGCACGCCGCGCCGCCTCGTGCGCCTCGCCCTGCTTCGCCACGAGGCCGCGACGAGCCGCCTCGGCATTGTCCCGCTCTGTGGCGGCGGCTTGCCGTTCTCGGGCCCAGCCAACACGCGCCTCGAGAAGAGCAGCCTAAGCGAAGACTGAGTGGCAGCATGGCGAGCGGAGGCCATCTTCGGGCGCGGAGAAAGCGACGAGGAGCGGGCCTGCGACTCAGCGACCTCTGCCACTGCGGCTTGTCCACGACGCCGTGCCTCCTCGGCACCTTCGTTTGCGAGTTCTGCCGCGTGGCGTGCCTCGGAGAGGCGTTCCAGCGCCTCACCGAGCTGGAGCCGCACAGCCCGCAGCGCCTCCTCAGCGCTGGCCCGCGCGGTTGAAGCCGCCGCGGCTGTCGCCAGCGCCTCCTCTGCCGTCGCTTCCGCCTTGTCCGTCATCACCTGCTGCTCCATTAGCTTCTTCTGCCAGACACCCTCTCGCAGCCGAAGCCGCGCAAGTTCTCTTTGCACGGCATTGCCGCTGTTCTTGCTCTGGGCGTGATCTTCTCCGCCGCCGCCGCCTACGCCATGGCCCGCGGAATGCGCGGGGCCGACGCTGCCGCAGGTCCTGTCCGCCTGACTGCCCGCAACGGGGAGAGGCGACGGAGACGGTGGTCCTGAAGCTCGCTGGACTGCCCCCATTGCATCGCGCAGCGTCGCCACCTTGGCAGCCAGCGACGCATCCCAAGGCCGAGCCTGCAGGCAGAGGAGAGTCTCGGTGCGGTACATTCGTGACGGGTTGAAGAGCGTCAGAAGTGTTGGGCGCAGTGATGGGTACGGGCGAGTTCAATCGCACCTCCAGCAGCAGCTGCGCATACTGGAACAGCATCGACCGAAGCATTGCGCACTCAGACCGAGCCGCGTCACGCTCGCCCAAGAGCTGAGAGTGAAAATCCTCAGGCATAGGCATGGCGCATGCAGCATTGCTGCTCTTCTGTGCGAGTCCCGCTCGCTGCGGGCGGGCCTTTGACACGTCAGAACTTCCTTCTTCAGCATGGAAGTTGTGTACCGGTTGCGCGATCCGATCGAGTCGGTCGGAGCTTTATAGATCTAATTTAGCATGACGCTCAACGTTGGCTTACTCGGTCAAAGCAGAGCGTGCGGCGAGCAAGCGGACGGCTGACTGTACACTCGTGCTCTGCACATGCACATCGTACTGTCTGTACACGCACCTGGCCGACCGACAGACGACACAGCCAACGTCCACCGACGCATGCGCCAAGCCGCCGAGCTGCCCCGCGAGCCCGCTGTGGCGAGCCCTGGCGTCTGTGGGTGCATGCCACACCACACTTCTGAGCTGCACTCCCTCTCCACTGCCCTCCCAGCACCACCCGACAGCCCCCGTCCCGCGCTGGCGCGCAACTGGCGTATCATACCAAATCGCCAACGCCTGCTCCGCTGACGCTGAGAGCGGGTTCAAAATCAGTGCCCTGCATGTGCGGGATTGGGAGTGGTGCCAGGGAAAGGGTACAAGGCGGTCACGCTCACGGGCTGCCAGGCATGTTTGTAGGACGAGTAGACCTGGCTCCGTTGCCCGTCTGGCTTCCTAGTTGCGAGGACCAACGATGATCGTGTATTCCCTCCCCCCCCCCCCCTATGTAATTAATGGAATGAGGGAGTACTTGGAGCACTATCGCTTAAGGCTGATTGGCTAGACGAGCGGTCTACCTCCAACGGGGAAGAGAGGGAAAACAACGGAGAGGTCATCCGGATGTGGCGGGACGCGACCGGGCACCAGCGCGAGTGTGTTTTCTTCTTCGTACTGTTGTAGCCTAAAGTCTGCCCAGGTTGCGGAGGGCACGATCCCAGCGTGAGCACGACTAACTGACGGATCCGCTCCTGACAGTGGCATGCACCGCGCTGCGGCGCGTGCCACTGTCTTTGTTTGAAGTTAAAAGGTCAGAGCGGCGTCGGCGCTGCCCTCCGTTTTCCTCCCCCCCTGGTCCCCCGTCCGGCACCGCTCCGGGACGCACGCCGGCGAAGCACCATCAAGCTGCTGTACGGCCCCGGCATCGCCTCCCCTGGCTTAGCTAGACTGAGAAATATTGTGCACATGGTTGGTCTCTACAATATATACACTGACATTGAACCTCCCAGAGCTCGTCCCGGTCCGTCACGGCCATCCTCGGCCTCCGGAGGGCCCCCGACCGCGGCGCGGTGCGGCGGCGTCACAAATCCGACCACAGAGCACCGGGACGCGGTCGATCTGAGGCCCAGGTAGGCGTATGCATTGCCTATCCAGGGCTGTCACCTGGACCTATCAACAGGCGCCTGCGGCGCCGTGCTCAGGAGCTGTTGCTCCAACCTGACCACCCAAGACAGCTTGCAGAGCTCCCGGTAAGGCAACATTTCGTAACGATCGTCGCTATTGGCCATCTGCCTCCTGCAGCCTCTGTTGGGGTGGAATGCGCGGGGTTTTCGGCGCGATGCCTCCGGCGAGTATACGGTACTGCTCTGCCGCAAGCTCTCCTGCGCGCGCGTGACGTGTGGGGCGCGTGCACTGCGCTCGAAAGTCGCGATTTGGCAATAGGCGCTCGAGCCGGCGCGCAGTGGAAGGGGGCGCCGCGCAGGGGGGTCGGGGGGGTGCGAGGGGGGGCGTGGGTCGGGCGCGCACCGGCCGGCTCCGAGAGCGGCCGTCACGTCGAAGAGGGGGGCTGGTGCTGCTCGAATGACGAGGCATGCCGCTCTGCTGCGCCGCCGATACCCCCTCTTCCGAGCCGGCGCGTGGCGGCGAGCCGCGGCCAGTATCGCTGGTGCGGTGGAGGCGGCAGCTTGCATCGGCCGGCAGCGGGTGCGGCCATCACGTCGATGAGGGGGGGTTGTCGGCGACTCGTGTGGCTCGAGGCCTACGCTGCGCCGCCCAAGCCCTACTGCCGATCCAGCGCCTGGCGTTTGGGGCGAGCCGCGGTCGTCGTCGCTGATGGTATGGCGGCGGCGGCGGCGGCTCGCCCTTCCCTCCGGCCGCAATTCCGATCCCGCCGCGCTCGCGGGAGGTCGCGCGTATATATTTATAGAGAGCAAGGGCTTCCGTGCTGCTGTGCGCCCCCTGGTGCGTGGTTGCTTTCAAGTTCTTAGATCACAACCCAAGGATGATATAATAAGGCAAAAAGATCCTTGCGCCTTGCCGATCCGCACCTACCTCGCCGGGAGGAGGTGGGTGCTCCGCCGCCGGACCGCCCTCTCCACCACCCTCGCCCAGGGATCTACAATGCTGTCTTAAGGTCCGACCTGTGGGCTCTGCCTGCGCTCGGCACCGGGCACCGCCTCGGTATACAAAATGCGCCTGCGGGCGGACCCTCACAGATCACAGATCACCTACCTAGGCTCTTGGGTGGCGCGCCCACTCTTCACGAAATGGTTTTCACACTTTGTGCGGTACAGTCGGCTTCGCGCCTACCTGCCGCTGTGCGCGACATACATGAGGCCTCCCCGGCCGCTTCCTGCGCCTCCCGCCGCCGCCAATACCTCTGCCTCCGCGCCAGCCACCGCCGCCTCCCCGCCACCGCCTCTGCCAGCCCCGGCGGCGCGTCGCTTGCTCCTCCCAACCGCGCGCCGACTAATGCTCCGCTGGCGGCGGAGGTCGCACCAGTTGCAGCTGACGCAGCACGCAGCGCTGCTCGGCCGCGCCGTCGCCCTGCGCCGCGCATGGCCTTCCGTCGCTGCGTGGTACGCGCGCCACGTGGCGCTCCGGTCCGCCAAGTGCCACGCCGCCGACGCCCACCGCGCCAGAGTGCTCGTCTGGCTCGTCTGGTGCACTGCCGCACTTGAGCACACTGCCCTGTGTGGATACCCTCGCCGGCGTGACGCCGGCCCCAGCGCGCGGCCCGCGGCACGGCGCGTCACTTGCCACCGCCCTTCCCCTCCCACAGGCGAGGCTGGCGCGCGAGGCACGTCGCCGCACGAGAGTCGCGCCACCGCAGCAACCTCGCCCTCGCCTCCCGCGCGGCGAGGCTGTGCCAGCTCTGCTACGCCGGCTGGGCGGAGCAGACGCGCCTCTCGGCCGCATCGCGGCGCGTCCTCCTCTCCCGCGCCACCTCGATGCTCCACCACTCCCTCTCCGCCTGGCGCGCCTGGCTCGAGCGCCGCGCCAGCCTCCCTCCGGCCTCCGCCGACCTCCTCGCCCGACGCGCGTCCCTCCGCCGCCGGCATCACGCCCTCCGCCTCGCCTCCTCCCTCTCGCGCTGGAGCGGCTCTGCACGAGAGCGGCAGCTTTGCGGGGAGCAGGCGCGCCTCGCGTCGAGCGCGTGGCGCGGCGCGGCGGCGGGCGGGGCGCTCCGCCGCTGGGAGGGTGCGAGGCGGGCGGCGACAGCCGCGGCGGCCCGCCGGCGGCAGGCGTACTCCTTCATGGCCGCCAGGCTGCAACGCGCCGTGCTCGCAGGCTGGCGAGCTCTCTGCGTCGACCGGCGCCGCATCGCCGCCCTCCTTCCCCTCGCCGCCGCCCTCCTCACTCTCTCCACCGCCCGCCGCCTCCTCCGTCGCTGGCGCACCACCGCCGACGGAGCCGCCGCGTGGGCCCTGGCGGTGAGCGGCTGCGGCCAGCGCGCGCGCCTCTCTGCCACGAGGCGCGGCCTGCGTGCGCTGGAGGCGGCGGTGGCGGAGCGGCGGCGGGTGGAGCGCGCGAGAGCTGCGGCCGAGCGAGCCGTCGCTGCGGCGGCGGTGTCGAGAGGCTTGCGGTCGTGGGTCGCGGGCGTGACACGGCAGCGGGAGGGCGCCGCCGCCTTCTGTGCGATGCGGCGGGCGCTGACACGGTGGTCGACAGCCGCTGCCGCGGACCGGCGCGGCGCGGCGGCGGCGGCAGCGGCGGCGGTTGGCCTCCGTCGCTCTCGAGGCCGCAAGGCGCTGCTCCGGTGGCGGGGTGAGGTCGAGGCAGCGGCTCTGTCTGGTGTGGCGGCGGAGGAGGCGCGGCGAGGCGCCCTGCGGGGGTGCCTTCGCGTGTGGCGGAGGCTAGCGGAGGAGGAGGAGGCGGCGGGGCTGCGCTGGAGGAGGGGCGTTCGCCACCGCTACTTTGTGCTGCTGCACCGCGGAGCAGAGGCGTGGCGACGGCGCGCGGAGGCTCAAATACAGCTCTGCGACGCGCGGGAACACTGCACCACCGCCCTGCGGGCGCTGCGCCGCCGACACGCGCTGCGGCGGATGCTGCAGCGCTCCACCGCCGCCGCCGCTGCTTCCGCGCAGTCCGACCGGGGCTGCCGACTCCTATCCTTTGCTCGCTGGCGGCGCAATGCGGCCGAGGCGTGCTCGGCCGCAGCGTTGCGGGCGAGGGCGGACGTGCACCGCGCGGGCTGCCTGCTCGCCCGCTCCTTCGGCTGCTGGCTCCACCTGCTCGTGCAGCGAACGCACAAGCGGCTCCAGCAGGCGCGGCAGCTGCAGCTGCATCGCGCCGCCCTCTGCCGCGCCGCCGCCCAGCGATCGCTGCGGCGCTGGCGGGCGCTCGCTGCAGCGGCGGCCGCCCTCGCGACCGAGAGAGAGGTGCGCTGCGCCGCGGCGCTGTCTCGGAGGGCGATGCCTCTCTCGGACCATCCCCTGAACCTTCTCGGACCCTTCCTGCCATAGGCCAGCCGCGCCGCGGCGCTGTCTCGGAGTCTGAGTGGCGCGCTGGGCGCGATTCGCGACCACGTGCTCCGGCGGCGGCTGGGCGCAGGGCGCGCCAGCGTGGCCGCCGAGTCCGCGTCTTGCTGGCGGCTGCGGCGGGGCATCCGGACGTGGCGGCGTTACCTCGCCTGGCGGGAAGCAGAGCTCTGCGCGCCGCGGTGCCTCGCGCGCTCGGCTCACGCGCGCCGCGTCTGCCGCGCGTGCTGGGAGGGGTGGAGGAGGTACCACTGCCGCAAGCAGTACAAGGCGGCGCAGCTCGCCGCCGCCGCAACGCGCCACGCGCGGGGGCTGCGCGCGAACGCGGTCGCCGCGTGGCTGCAGGTCGGTCTCTCGCGACACGCGGTCGGGGTCGAGGCGGCGGCGGCGCGGTCCGCGGCGCGCGCGGCGGAGGAGCACCGGCTGGCCGAGCGTTACGCGCGGCGGTGGAGGGCGGCGGTGGAGGAGCGGCGGGCGGCGCGCGCCGCGACTGCTTCCGCTCCCTCCCTCGGCGCTTCTTCCCCTCCCTCCCTCGAGATCTCGCGACGGCCCGGCTCCGGGGCCACGACACGTGGCGGCGGCGGCATCAGAGGCGCAACCCCACCCCCATCCTCCCACCCCCCATCCTCCCACCCCCATCCTCCCACCCCCATCCTCCCATCCCCATCCTCCCACCCCCATCCTCCCATCCCCATCCTCCCACCCCCATCCTCCCATCCCCATCCTCCCACCCCCATCCTCCCACCCCCATCCTCCCACCCCCATCCTCCCATCCCCATCCTCCCACCCCCATCCTCCCACCTCCATGGCTCCCACCCCCATCCTCCCATCCGGGGA